AGCCGCAGCAGCAGCAGCAGCAGCAGCCGCAGCAGCAGCAGCGGCAGCAGCCGCAGCCGCAGCCACAGCGGCCGCCGTCGCAGCAGCCACTCCTCCCAGTTCCTGTCCCTCCCCCTAGTCTCCTCCCTGCGTCTCACCAGGTGGTTCCGTCCCCTCAGGTTGTCGCGTCCAGTCCAGTCGCTGCGTCTTGCTCCTGTCGGTCGCTTGCCCACCCCACCGTTCTGTGGCACCACCGGATGGGACACCCTTCTCTTCCACGTCTGCGTGCTATGTCTAGTCAGCGTCTGGTCTTAGGTCTCCCGCGTGTCTTGCCGTCGCTGCCGCCGTCCCTTGCACCACCGTGCGGTCCTTGCGTCGAGGGTAGGCTGCGTGCCACCCCTCACTCCTCCTCCCTTCGTCCGGCCACCGAGCCTTTTGAGACACTGCACTTGGACGTCTGGGGCCCCTCTCCTCGCCCTGGCCCTGAGCGTGAGCGTTTCTTTTTGGTGGTCGTTGACGACTACTCCCGCTACACCACAGTGTTCCCCCTGGCGAGGAAGTCTGAGGTGACTTCTACGCTGATCAGGTGGTTGCTTACCACCCAGGACACTCGTGGTCGTCGTGTCAGCTGTCTCCACTCCGACCGCGGGGGCGAGTTTCGCTCCGGCATTCTCGCTGGATTCTGTCGCGAACAGGGCATTCGTCAGTCCTGGACGCTTCCGGAGTCCCCACAGCAGAATGGGGTTGCTGAGCGTCGCATAGGCCTGGTCATGGAGATTGCCCGCACCTCCTTGACTCACGCCCGTGCCCCCCATTTCCTGTGGCCATACGCAGTCAGGTACGCCGCGCACCAGCTGAACCTCTGGCCACGCGTCTCTCGGCCGGAGGCTTCACCGACCAGTCTTTGGACAGGGTCCCCTGGTGTCGCGTCGAGGTTTCGTGTCTGGGGGTGCTTGGCTCTTGTCCGCGACACCTCCGCGGACAAGCTCTCGCCTCGCGCCGTTCCTTGTGTCTTCCTTGGTTTCCCTGAGGACTCCTCTGACTTCACCTTTTACCACCCTCCCTCTCACCGGTTCTTTGACTCCCGTGACGTCCGTTTCGAGGAGTCCACCCCGTACTACGTCAGGTACCCCAGTCGAGGTCTCCCGGTTCCTCCTCCCCCCCTCTTCCTGACAGCCGCTCCCCCGCCTGCTCCCCCGGTACAGCCTCCCCCCCCTGGTCCAGCCCCGTCTGGTGTGTCTCAGGCTAGCCCTCCCCCTTCGGTAGCCCCCCCTGTACAGCCTCCCTCCCCACAGTCTTCCTCACCGCCTCCTGTAGGTGCTCCCTCTCGGGAGGTTGGTCCTGCGACTGTCCCTGTACAGGTCTCTGGTTCTGGGGGTGCTGGAGTTGGAGCTGAGCCGCGGGTTGCAGAGGACTCTTCTCTTCCGGGGGCTGGTACTGGTCGTGCGGAGTCTGGGGGTGCTGCGTCTGGGGGTGAGGGTGTCCCTTCGGTTTCTGGAGAGCCTGGGTCTGGAGCTGGTGTTGGTGCTGCCTCTGGGGGTGGTGTGCTTGGTGCTTCGGAGGTCGACTCTGGGGCTGCCGCTGCCCCGGACACTACTCCTTCCCCCCACCCCTACCCGACCAGGTTCCAGGCTCGTGTTCGCCGTGCTCGTGAGGAGCAGCTGGAGTTGGAGAGAGAGGAGAGAGAGTTGCAGCGGCTCGAGGAGCAGGAGCGACAGCAGCAGGGGCAGCAGCCGCTGGAGCAGCAGCAGCCGCAGCAGCCGCAGCAGCAGCAGCTGCCGTCTCCTCCTCCTGTCTCGGGTCTTCGGACCCTTGGTCTCCCCTCTCCCTCTCCTTCCTCCTCCCCCTCTCCTCCCGTCTCTGGTCCTCCGCTTCCTCCTCCTGACCCCTCTCCCGCTGTTTTCCCTCGTTCTCAGTCTTCGTTGTCCCCTCCTCCTTCTCAGACTTGGGCCTCTCGTCGCTCCCCTCGTGCTCGTCCCTCGTCTCCTGTTCCCTTCACTGACCTTCGTACTGCCTTACTTCGTTCTAGTCCACCTCGTCCGTCTCCTCCTGAGTCGGCTCTCACTGCGTCGCTCCCTACTCCTGTCACTGACTACTACCGCACGTACCGTCCTCTTCTCTCTCGTGTTCTCGCCTCGCTTGTTACTCACCCTCGTGCCTCTGTGTCCTCTGTGTCCGCTCTTACTGCCGCAGTCACTGAGTTTGCCTCTACCCGCCGCCTTGACTTCGCCACCGCTCTTGTGGCTGCTCCTCCTTCCAGTCCTCTGGCCGTCGGGGGTGTGTCTGCCCTTGGCTGTGACGCCCTAGAGGACAGGCAGTTTGAGCTAGAGTTCCTGGCGGCCGCTTCCCCTCATCTCTGTGCCATGCTCCTCGCCCCTGAGGGTGACCCCGACGCCCTTGACATTCCGACTCCTCGCACTTACGCTGAGGCAGTGTCAGGGCCTTGGGCCTCTCAGTGGAGAGCTGCCATGGACGCAGAGATGGCCTCCTACAGATCCACAGGCACCTACGTCGATGAGGTTCCCCCTCCGGGGGCGAACGTAGTCGACGGCATGTGGATCTACAGGGTGAAGCGGCCACCGGGATCTCCTCCGGTCTTCAAGGCACGCTACGTGGCTAGAGGTTTCAGTCAGCGCGAGGGAGTTGACTTCTTTCAGACCTTCGCGCCCACCCCGAAGATGACCACTCTTCGGGTGTTACTACACGTAGCAGCACAGAGAGACTACGAGTTACACTCTCTCGACTTCTCTACTGCTTTCCTTCAGGGCAGTCTTCACGAGGAGGTCTGGTTGCGTCGTCCCTCTGCCTTCACTGGCTCTTTCCCTCCTGGGACCCAGTGGAGGCTGAGGCGACCGGTTTACGGTCTTCGTCAGGCTCCTCGTGAGTGGCACGACACCCTGCGTTCTACCCTGTCTGACCTTGGGTTCCAGCCGTCTTCTGCTGACCCGTCGCTGTTCGTTCGTCGTGGCCCCACACCTTTCTTTGTTCTGGTCTACGTTGACGACCTTGTTTTCGCCACCCCTGACAGGGTTGCTTTGGCACACGTGAAGTCCGAACTGCAGAAGAGACACACCTGCACTGATCTTGGTGAGCTGCGCCACTACCTTGGCCTGCAGATCACCAGGGACAGAGCTGCTCGCACCATTACACTTTCACAGTCGCACATGGTGCAGCAGGTCCTTCAGCGGTTCGGGCTTCAGCACTCCACAGTACAGCGCACACCTCTTGCTGTTGACCACAGACTCACTGGACCCTTTCCTGACGAGCCGTTCGAGCCTAGTGGTCCCTACGCAGAGCTTGTGGGTTGCCTCATGTACCTGATGACTTGTACTCGCCCGGACCTCGCCTTCCCTCTCAGCGTTCTTGCGCGCTTTGTTGCGCCAGGGAGACACCGTCCTGTTCACTGGACAGCAGCTGTGAGGGTGGCGAAGTACCTAGCGTCGACGTCAGGCGTGGGGCTAGTTCTTGGAGGGCAGCAGTCTGTCGTACTTACTGGTCACTGTGACTCCTCTTACGCTGACGACGCTGAGACTCACAGGTCTACTCAGGGGTACTGTTTCAGCCTGGGTTCTGGAGCTGTTTCCTGGCGGTCCACGCGCTCCTCTTCGGTCTCGACCTCTACAGCTGAGGCTGAGATCTACGCTGGTGCCATGGCGGCACAGGAGCTGCGTTGGTTGACCTTCTTGCTCACCGACCTTGGTGAGCGGCCGAGCTCTGCACCGACCTTGTTCACTGACAACAAGGCGTCTATTCTCCTTTGTCGAGAGCCACGACTGGAGAGCAGAGTGAAGCACATTTACGTCAGGTACTTTCTTCTGCGAGAGTTGCAGAGGCGTGGACAGGCTCGCTTTGAGTTTGTGGAGTCCGAGGCCAACACTGCAGACATCTTCACCAAGGCGCTTCCGCCTTGTGACCACCAGAGGTGCTGTGTGCAGTTAGGCCTTGTTGACACTGGTTCTCGTGTTGCTTAGACTTGAGTGTACTGTTTACTTTGCTTTCTATATACCTCTGTTACTTCTTGGACTGGCCTTGTGGCCACTGTTGTTTGTGCTCAGACTGTGTGGTGACGTTGTGATCCACCCTGAGCTTCGTTTCTTGGACTGGTCTTGTGACCGTACTCGTGTGGTTCTGCTAGACACCCCTCACTTAGGCTATGGGGGTGTGTCAAATGTTGTAGCCTATAGTGAGGTTTGTCTTAGGGGGTACAAAACTTAGGGTTAGCTATATGTACCCCAACCAACATCAATGCATCATCCATTCTTCATTCTGACAGGAGGGTGGTCATTCAGCTGAAGGAATTCAGCTGGGGTGGATCATCTGTGAGAGGGAAATATGTTGCAGCGTGTGTTTTTTGAGAACTCTAAAAAAAACACAAGCTGGGGTGGATCATCCGTGAAGGAATTCACTCCACCCTCGTCGTCACTTCGCCCCACCCAGCCTTACCATCAGTCCGCACCAAAAATACATTCCCCTCCACTACCATCCACCCCTCCCCGTGCAGGCCGTTCAGCTGATGTAGTCAGTGGGATCATCTGCGAAGGAACTCACTCTGCCCTCGTCGTCGCTCCGTCCCACCCACCCCTCGCTGCCATCTGTCCATATGTCCATGAATAGTGTGTGCTCAGCTGATGTAATCGGTGGGATCGTCTGTGAAGGAACTCACTCCACCCTCGTCGTCACTCCGCCCCACCCAGCCTTATTATCAGTCCGCACCAAAAACAGATTCCACTCAACCACCAATCACTCTACCCCATGCTGGTTGTTCAGCTGATGTAATCGGTGGGATCATCTGTGAAGGAATTCACTCCACCCTCGTCGTCGCTCCGGCCCACCCTCCCTTCGCTGTCAGCCCAAACCAAAAACAGATTCCATTCAACTACCATCTATCCCACCCAGTGCTGGCTGTTCAGCTGATGTAATCGGTGGGATCGTCCGTGAAGGAATTCACTCCACCCTCGTCGTCGCTCCGGCCCACCCACCCCTCGCTGTCATGTGTCCATATTTCCATGAATAGTGTGCGCTCAGCTGATGTAATCGGTGGGATCATCTGTGAAGGAATTCACTCCACCCTCGTCGTCACTTCGGCCCACCCATCCTTCACTGTCAGCTCGCACCAACACATCCACCAACCCTGCCTCGTCTCGCGCAACCTGGCGTGTAGGCACAGGGGGAGGAGAACAAGGAAAGAGAAGAAAAAGGAAGAGGGGAAGGTTAAAGAAGCCACACCATCCGCTTTTGTTGCTGTGACCCACCCCTCGCTGTCAGCCCTCACCAACACATCCACCAGGCCCGCCTCGTCTCGTGCAATCTGGAGTGTGGGCACAGGGGGAAGAGAATAAGGTAAGGGAACAGAGAAGCATAAAAATTCACACCCCACGATTTCTATTGCTCCAGCCCACCCACCCTTCACTGTCAGCACCAACACATCCACCAGGCTTGCCTCGTCCCGAGCAACCTGGAGTGTAGGCACAGGGGGAGGGGAACAAGGAAAGGAAAAGGAAGAGGAGAAGTTCGAAGTTCACACCATCTGCTTTTGTTGCTGCGGCCCACCCACCCGTCGCTGTCAGCCCGCACCAACACATCTACGAGGCCCGCCTCGTCACGTGCAACCTGGCGTGTGGCGTGCGGGTCGCTGTCCACTGTGGACAGAGGGGGGGAGGTTAAAGAGTCCAATCCATATTCTTTGCCGCTCGCTGTGGCCAACCCACCCCTCGCTGTCACCAATACATCCGCCGGCCTTGCTTCGTCACGTGCAACCTGGAGTGCGGGCATGGGGGAAGTAGAGCAAGGAAAGTATCTTAGTTCACGAATTCACCCCACCCCCGTCGTCGCTGCGGCCCACCCAGCCTTTGCTGTCTGCCCGCACCAACACATCCGCCGGCCTTCCTTCGTCATGTGCACCCTGGATTGTGGGCACAGGGGGAGGAGAACAAGAAATGGATAAAGGGGAGGGGAAGGAAAAGGGCACAGGGGGAGGAGGCGAGCAGCCCACTACAAGCTCACCAGCACACGAGCAGCCCACTACAAGCTCACCAGCACACGAGCAGCCCACTACAAGCTCACCAGCACACGAGCAGCCCACTACAAGCTCACCAGCACACGAGCAGCCCACTACAAGCTCACCAGCACACGAGCAGCCCACTACAAGCTCACCAGCATACGAGCAGCCCACTACAAGCTCACCAGCACACGAGCAGCCCACTACAAGCTCACCAGCACACGAGCAGCCCACTACAAGCTCACCAGCACACGAGCAGCCCACTACAAGCTCACCAGCACACGAGCAGCCCACTACAAGCTCACCAGCACACGAGCAGCCCACTACAAGCTCACCAGCACACGAGCAGCCCACTACAAGCTCACCAGCACACGAGCAGCCCACTACAAGCTCACCAGCACACGAGCAGCCCACTACAAGCTCACCAGCACACGAGCAGCCCACTACAAGCTCACCAGCACACGAACAGCCCACTACAAGCTCACCAGCACACGAGCAGCCCACTACAAGCTCACCAGCACACGAGCAGCCCACTACAAGCTCACCAGCACACGAGCAGCCCACTACAAGCTCACCAGCACACGAGCAGCCCACTACAAGCTCACCAGCACACGAGCAGCCCACTACAAGCTCACCAGCACACGAGCAGCTCACTACAAGCTCACCAGCACACGAGCAGCCCACTACAAGCTCACCAGCACACGAGCAGCTCACTACAAGCTCACCAGCACACGAGCAGCCCACTACAAGCTCACCAGCACACGAGCAGCTCACTACAAGCTCACCAGCACACGAGCAGCCCACTACAAGCTCACCAGCACACGAGCAGCTCACTACAAGCTCACCAGCACACGAGCAGCCCACTACAAGCTCACCAGCACACGAGCAGCTCACTACAAGCTCACCAGCACACGAGCAGCCCACTACAAGCTCACCAGCACACGAGCAGCCCACTACAAGCTCACCAGCACACGAGCAGCTCACTACAAGCTCACCAGCACACGAGCAGCCCACTACAAGCTCACCAGCACACGAGCAGCTCACTACAAGCTCACCAGCACACGAGCAGCCCACTACAAGCTCACCAGCACACGAGCAGCTCACTACAAGCTCACCAGCACACGAGCAGCCCACTACAAGCTCACCAGCACACGAGCAGCTCACTACAAGCTCACCAGCACACGAGCAGCCCACTACAAGCTCACCAGCACACGAGCAGCCCACTACAAGCTCACCAGCACACGAGCAGCCCACTACAAGCTCACCAGCACACGAGCAGCCCACTACAAGCTCACCAGCACACGAGCAGCCCACTACAAGCTCACCAGCACACGAGCAGCCCACTACAAGCTCACCAGCACACGAGCAGCCCACTACAAGCTCACCAGCACACGAGCAGCTCACTACAAGCTCACCAGCACACGAGCAGCCCACTACAAGCTCACCAGCACACGAGCAGCTCACTACAAGCTCACCAGCACACGAGCAGCCCACTACAAGCTCACCAGCACACGAGCAGCTCACTACAAGCTCACCAGCACACGAGCAGCCCACTACAAGCTCACCAGCACACGAGCAGCTCACTACAAGCTCACCAGCACACGAGCAGCCCACTACAAGCTCACCAGCACACGAGCAGCCCACTACAAGCTCACCAGCACACGAGCAGCCCACTACAAGCTCACCAGCACACGAGCAGCTCACTACAAGCTCACCAGCACACGAGCAGCCCACTACAAGCTCACCAGCACACGAGCAGCCCACTACAAGCTCACCAGCACACGAGCAGCCCACTACAAGCTCACCAGCACACGAGCAGCTCACTACAAGCTGACCAGCACACGAGCAGCTCACTACAAGCTCACCAGCACACGAGCAGCTCACTACAAGCTCACCAGCACACGAGCAGGTCTTGTGATCAGCCCCACGCTGCTACCGCTCAGTTCCCACCTGCCTCCCCGTTCCTTCCTCCACGCCCACCCCTCCACCCCCCACACCTGCCAGTGCTCACCACTGTGACCTCACCATCCAGGTATGACACGAGGAGCTCTCTTGATTAGTGCTTATCTGAATGCTTGAGTCGACTCAAAAGCCCCCTCCCCCATCTTCCTGCGCTCTCACCATAAGCTCATCATCCAGGTATGACACGAGCAGCTCTTTTCAGTAGCGCCCATCCCCTTTCCCCCCACCCCCACCTGCCTCCCCTTGCTTCCCCCCCTCCCCCCCTCTTCCTGCGCTCACCATCAGTTCATCATCCAGGTATGACACGAGCAGCTCTCGCGAGTATCTCCCATCTGCATAGCAAGCACACCGGGAAGGAGAGGAAGGAGCGGAAGGGGTGTGAAGGGAGGAGTGTAAGGGGTGGAGGGAGGGGAAAGGGAGAGTGAGAGGACGGGAGTAGGGTGAGTGGTAGGGGACATTAACGGAGGGGCTGATGCAGGCCCGCATTGATGGTGCCTTGCAGAGCAGCGGGCAGCGACTTGAGGAGGGAACGCAGGGGCACCCAGGGGCACACGAAGGCCGGCGTTGATGGTGTCTTGCAGAGCAGCGGGCAGTCGTTGAAGGAGAGAGGAGAGGTGATCGGAACACCCATGCATTCAGGGGCACCATCACCGCCCCAGCTAGGGGCACCACCACCCACCCAGAGGCACCACCACCCACCCAGAGGCACATGCAGGCCGGCACTGATGGTGTCTTGCAGAGCAGGAGGCAGCGACTGAAGGAGAGAGGAGAGAGAGGGAGGTGTAGACGCGGGGAGGGAGGAGGAATGGGAGGAGAGGGAATGGACGGAGGAGGGAGAGAGGGGGAATCAGTTGAGACACTGACCGAGCGGCACACGCCGGCCGGCATTGATGGTGTCTTGCAGAGCAGCAGGTAGCGACTTGAGGAGGGAGGAGAGGTGATCCACAATGTGCGTGATATTCACCCAGGAGCCCTACCGCCCATTCATGAAAACCATCAACCACCCAGGGGCACCACCACCCACCCAGGGGCACCGCCACCCACCCAGGGGCACCGCCACCCACCCAGGGGCACCGCCACCCACCCAGGAGAACCACTACCCACCCAGGGGCACCGCCACTAACCGAGAGGCACACGCAGGCCAGCGTTAATGGTGTCTTGCAGAGCAGCGGGCAGCGACTTGAGGAGAGATGAGAGATGATCCACAATGGCTGTGATATTCACCCAGGGGCACCACCACCCACCCATGAAAACCACCACCCACCCAGGAGAACCACTACGCACCCAGGGGCACACGAAGGCCGGCGTTGATGGTGTCTTTGCAGAGCAGCGGGCTGCGACTTGACGAGAGATGAGAGCTGATCCACAATGGCTGTGAGTGCTTTTGAGACGTCTCGAACGGGTGCGAGGGAAGGGGAATGGCTTGAAACACCTACCCAGCGGAACGCGCAGGCCAGCATTGATGGTGTCTTGCAGAGCAGCGGGCAGCGACTTGAGGAGAGATGAGAGCTGAGAGACAATGGCTGTGATATTCACCCAGGGGCCCTACCGCCCACCCATGAAAACCACCAACTACCCAGGGGAGTCACCACCAACCCAGGGAAACCACCACCCACCCAGGAGAACCACTATGCAGGCATAGAGAGACTGACCCAGGGGCACACGCAGGCCGGCGTTAATGGTGTCTTGCAGAGCAGCAGGCAGCGACTTGAGGAGAGATGAGAGCTGATCCACAATGGCTGTGAGGGGCGCTGGGATGCTGCCACCTGTCACGATGGGAGTGGTCACCTCGATCTCCGCGTACTCCTCCTTGAGCCTGGATGGGTTGATGTTGAAGTGCAGGGTGCGGTGGAGTGTGGTGGAGTGAGGTAGAGTGAGGTCGAGTGCGGTAGAGTGGTGGAGGAGAGAGATTGAGTTATCTGACGAAAGCCAGAAGCTGAGCGGAAGAGTGAAGGAGAGAAAAGGAAGGGGGTTGAAGGGGAGCAAAGGGAGGGAGGTAAGGGGGAGAGGAGGGAAGGAGGCTACAGGGAAGAGGTGAGCAGGTCAATCGGCGAATCAAAGGGGGTATTGGGGGGTAGGAAAGCAGGATGCATCTGAGCGATAAATGGGAGGCAGGACGGAGGGAACTCACTTGAGTGAGGCTTCCATTTCAAGCTTTGACTTGATAATGACGTTTGTCTCAGCCTGATGGGATGGAATGGGATGGGATGGGCATGGGGTGAGACAAGCACGATATGGTGGTCAGGGTGACTTATGAGCTGACTCAAGAGCTCACTTGAGTGACACTTCCATTTCAAGCTTTGACTTGATAATGACGTTTGACTCAGCTTGATGGGCGTGGGCATGGGCGTGGGCATGGGGAGAGTGTCCAATAGATGATAATGCTGATGAGGATGATGATAATGCTGACGAGGATGATGATGACGATGATGACGACGACGACGACGACGACGACGACGATGATGCGCATGCAGCGCACGCTACCACCACACCACACCATCCGCGATCGAACATGCCTTTCCACCAGCCAACCACCAACCAACCACCAACCAACCACCAACCAACCGACTGCATACCACATTGAGGAATCGAACGACAGCTGTGGCAGTGATGGTGCTGCCAGGCATGATGTGCAACTGCAGGGCTTGCAGCGACGCCACCTGAGGGGGTAGACGCCTGTCATAGCAAAAAGGAAGAGAAGAGCGAGAAGAGAACGTGATGGTTAAGAGGATTCTCAAAAACCTGCGATGGGAAAAGCGGAGAGAAAGGCGAGAAGAGAACGTGATGTTTAAGTCTGACTTTCGAGGCGCCTCAAAAGTCGAATATTGAGTCGACTCAAAAATCGACTTATCACACACGAAGAGCGAGAAGAGAAGAGAACGTGATGGTTAAGTCTGACATTTGAGGCGCCTCAAATGGGGAGCGAAAAGGGAGAAGGGGAAATGAAAGGATGCGATGGCACAGTAGACTCACTACAGGACAAGGTGGGCGGCAGGCAGCGACTCACTACAGGACAAGGTGGGCGGCAGGCAGCGACTCACTACAGGACAAGGTGGGCGGCAGGCAGCGACTCACTACAGGACAAGGTGGGCGGCAGGCAGCGACTCACTACAGGACAAGGTGGGCGGCAGGCAGCGACTCACTACAGGACAAGGTGGGCGGCAGGCAGCGACTCACTACAGGACAAGGTGGGCGGCAGGCAGCGACTCACTACAGGACAAGGTGGGCGGCAGGCAGCGACTCACTACAGGACAAGGTGGGCGGCAGGCAGCGACTCACTGTAGCACAAGGCGGGCGGCGATGAGTCCAGGGCTTCCTGCTCCCGCCCACACAAAGTCCCAATAGCCCTCCAGTAGAGGGGAGCTGGTGGGTGGGGAGGGGAGGGAGACAGAGGAGAGGAGGGTTTGGAAGGGGGCAGGGAAAGGGAGCAGGCGCATGGGCAGGGCTTCCTGCTCCCGCCCACACAAAGTCCCAATAGCCCTCCAGTAGAGGGGAGCTGGTGGGTGGGGAGGGGAGGGAGACAGAGGAGAGGAGGGTTTGGAAGGGGGCAGGGAAAGGGAGCAGGCGCATGGGCAGGGCTTCCTGCTCCCGCCCACACAAAGTCCCAATAGCCCTCCAGTAGAGGGGAGCTGGTGGGTGGGGAGGGGAGGGAGACAGAGGAGAGGAGGGTTTGGAAGGGGGCAGGGAAAGGGAGCAGGCGCATGGGCAGGGCTTCCTGCTCCCGCCCACACAAAGTCCCAATAGCCCTCCAGTAGGGGGTAGCTGGTAGAAGGTGGGGGGCGGGGGGAAGGGGAGGGGGCAGGGGACAGGGGGCAGGGATGGGGGACGGGGCAAAACAAGGCCGAAAGGAGGGCTCTGTACTCCTCCCAGTAGCCCTCCAGAAGGGGGGAGCTAGTGGGTGGAGGCGGGGCATGGGGCAGGGGGAAGAGAGAAGGGCGGAGGGGAAAGGGGAAAGGGGGCAGGGGGCAGGGAAGGAAGGGAAGTGTAACCCTATTTTACCATATCTGGTGGGGCGAGTGGTGGGGTTGAGACGCTCTGAAGCCACCACCCTCTCAGAACACTCGAATCTTCAATGCTGCATTACCCTCTTCATGTGGTAACCCTACTCCTATGCATGGCAACCTTACCTTTCCTTGTGCTTGTGATAACCCTATGCTAATGCACCTGGTGGGACGAGTGGTGGGGTTGAGTCGCTCTAGAGCCACCACTCTCTCAGACACTTGAATCTTCCCTGCCGCGTTGCCCTGTCCTGTTGACAACGACTCCACTCCGCCTGCATCCTTAATCTGCGGGAAACAAGGGAAGCAAGCAACAGAGAGCAACACGAATAGACCAGGTGGGTTGAATCTTTCCTGCCGCATTGCCCTGACCGGTCGACAGCGACTCTACCCCGCCCGCGTCTTTAATCTGCAGAATGGAGGGGAAGGGAGCAGCAGCACAAGAGAGAAGAGTCAGGGTGTGGGGACTTCAATTCAGGGAGCAGAGTTACGGTGGCGACTTGACTTGAATTCGCCTCGCAACGTTGCCACGTTGCCACGTTGCCCCGCCCGTTGAGGGAGATGTGATGCGACGGCCCTCCTCAAGGCACTCACGAGCTTACAACGAGTACAGCGCTTATATCGAGAAAAAAAAGCGCTCTAAACGGGAGGAAAAAGTTAACGCCGCAGACCCGCAAACGCGTTTAGATAAGAATGTGGAGACCATTACAGCAAACGGAAGGGAAGAAGCTCATAACGCGTACAGCAAGCAGCAGCGCCTCTTTAGCGGCGACTCGCTCCATTTCCTTCGCGAACGACGAGACGCGCATGTCCCCTCCTCCCGCCGCCGCCGTAGTTACCGCTCTCCTGCTGACGTGGCGACACGTGGACCGAACTCCATTTGTGCTATTCAATCGCGCTGTCCGCGTCAGCGGCGCACCGCGCTGGTGTTGGCAGGAGGAGAACGAATTGCCACGTGCCGCAACGGCATTGGAGCCAGGGCGGAATCTACTTGTAGAGTCGCAAGCGAGCGGTGCTGGAGGCTTTACTTGCATGTGGGCGCGAGAAACCTGCGGCGAAAGCGCGAGCGAAAAGGAAGAGGAGATTTGTAACATGGCGACGAGGAAGGACGGCTAGTGTCACGCGAGAATAACAGCGAGAAAGGCGCAGGTAGGTAAAGAACGAGTCGAAAAAAACGAGGGTGCACTCCAACTGTGGGTAGGAAAAACGCGCCGCCCGTGGGGCTCGAACCCACGACCACAAGGTTAAGAGCCTTGCGCTCTACCGACTGAGCTAGGGCGGCTGTTGATGCACAAGTATAAAACTTATATATTAGATATAATGTTTCAGACGCTACGAAACATCGGGACGCGTGAACTCTTGCTAAAATCGGCGATCGATCCTGCAAAAACGATCGGCCACCGCACTGAAATCCCGCATAAGCTTCCAGGGTTTTATAGAAATCTAACCCGGGTAAAATCGAACCTGCGCAGGATCGATCGCCGAAATTTGCAGGAGTTGACGCGTCCTCAGATTCCAGTTGCTTGACTCTGGCTCCATCCATTCTATCACTACTGCTCGGTCGGCACGACTCTGGGCAGTCTACTATCGTAGTCGTTCATTCCTAGACTCTTTCTTAACTAGAGTCATTCGTATCCCTTAAGTCCACCACAGCCCCGCGTCAGGCGGCGGCTCGATGTTAGACGACTGGGAGGACGAGCGGGAGCGGGTCGTAGACGGCGGAAACTACGGCGGGAATCACGGCGGGGGTTACGGCGGGCAATATGGCTACCAAGGATACGGCGCGGTAGGTCATGCGAATTGATGGCCCGACTTGTAGTTGCGACTCGACGGTGCGACCGCGTTTCGACCGTGCAATGGTCTTCGCCGCGTTGGAGTTCCCAAGTGCCGCCACGTCAGCAGCAGCGGCTCGAACCAACGAGCCGTTAGTCAGCGTGGAGGTCCTTAGAAATCAGAAATCCACGTGGCAATCGGCCATAGGCCACCAACTCTCCCTAACCGCTCCTCACCACTCCTTTTCCTTCTCCTCCCCTCACCACCGTCCCCTCTCCCCGAACAACCCGCCTCCAGGACGAGGATGAGCCACGTCAGCAGCAACAGAATCCACGTCAGCAGCAGCAGCGATTCGATTCCAACGAGCCGCTGTTCAGCGTGGAGGTGCTTAAAGCCCACGCTGCGCTGGGCCACGGGCGCATCACGTGCGGCGCCGCGGGCAACTCCGTGGTGGCCGTTGGGACGTCGGACGGCTGGCTCGTGCGATACGACTTCCTGAATGATGAGCTCGCAGGTGGGGGGGTTGGGTGGGTGGATGGGTGCGCAGGTGGTTTGGGAGCGGTGGGGATGGGTGGGAGTCTAAATCTGAGGCGCCTCAGGAATGGCCAACTTGGTGGTGGCTGGCTGTGGGCACGTCGGACGGCTGGCTCGTGCGTTACGACTTCCTGAATGATGAACTCGCAGGTGGGCGGGATGAGTGGGTGGGTGAATGGGCGCGTGGGTGAACGGGTGGGTGGGTGGGTGGGTAGGTGGGTGGGTGGGTGGGTGGGAGTCTGGTATCGATGTGCCTCAGAAAAGGGCAACTCCCCCCGGTACCGATGGCTGACCTGATCTTTATAACCCTCTCGTCCCTCCTTTTCTCTTTCCCCCTCCTTGTTCTCCCGGCTACCGTTTTCAGAGATCAACCTAGCGTCCTACATCCCTCCAGACACCTCCTCCACCACCACCACCTCCTCGTACCCAACTGCACCGCTTGTCAACGGCTCCTACCGCATACACGTGAAGAGTGTATTCGTAGACCCGGGTGGCCGCCACACACTCGCCGTGCTGCAACACACGCCCCTCGGCGCCCCTGCAACACGCGCAACCACCACCAGCAATAGCGGCGGCAGCAGGACAAGCGGCAACAGCAGCAGCAGCAGCAGCAGTGGAGAAGGCAGCAGTGGGCATGGGCATGGGCATGGACATGGGAGTGGGAGCGGGACTGGGGGGGCGGTGGCAGGGATGTATGCAGCAGGGACGTACTGGGACGTGGTGTATGTGCATGGGGGGTGGCAGCGCGCACGGCATGTGGCGAGGCATCGCATGGCCATTGGGGCTGTTGCTGCTGTGGCGTGGCAGCCTGCTCCCATGGCACATGATGGTATGCGTGGGGGGGGGATAGTGGGGCATTCATGCTGGCATGATGGGGTGTGAATTTGTTGTGTGCCGGCCTGTACCACTCTGCACCACTCTGCACCACTCTGCACCACTCTGCACCACTCTGCACCACTCTACTACACCACTCTTTACCATGTCGCAACCCCATTTATTTCTCCACGCCAGCCATCACGCGGGAGATCATTCTTGCCACGGAGGGCGGGCGGCTGTACACCATCCATCCCACACCGTACCTGCACCACTCTTTCACCACTTTACACCACTCTGCACCACATTTTGCTACCACCCCACTCTCCACTCCAGCCAGCACGCGGGAGATCATTCTTGCCACGGAGGGCGGGCGGCTGTACGAGGCGGCGTTCGAGGAAACAGACAAGCGAGACTGCCCGCTGAAGCTGCTCTTCGAGCTGCCCGACGCTGAAAAGTGCGCCTTCCGGGGCATCCAGGTCAGAGACACCCCGACTATCTTCCCCCCAGTTTCCTCAAAAGGCATCCAGGTCTGCTGCCCCTCACCTATGTAAACTCAGTGGGAGTCACTTTTGAGAATTCTTTAAAACTCGGTGCCCTTATGTTTGAAGGAGTGTTTTGAGACGTCTCAAAACACATTTTCAAGCACGTGGCAACACTCAATGCCTCTATGTGCTCAGTCCCTCAGTGGGTCATTCTTGCCCCTATGTCGAAGGCAAGTGCTCAGACCTGCTAGGAAGTTGAATGTAAATTGATTGTAAACATATAAAAGACTGCTCTTAGAACAAAGGAAATGGCTTCTAATCCTCATGCATCATTTTGCCACCCACCCACCGTCCGAATACAACCCCAGATGGAGGTGCTGGGATTGCATGGGGGAGGCTCATCAGGGGGAGGCTTTTCTGGGGGAGGAGCAGCAGCAGCAGCAGGGGGAGGTGCAGCTGCGTCAGGAGCATCATCTCAGCGGTTCTTCGTCCTGGCTGCTACTGCCACTCGCCTCCTTGCCTTTGTTGGTTCCACGTCTCTCGGGGTTAGTCAAGTTGAGCATGACTACAAGGCTTGAGAGCATGTGAACCTTCTTTTTCTTTTACCGGACTTTTCCCTGTCCTCTGTCTTTTGTTTCGCACTCTGCTTCGCCCAACCTTTCCTATCTCATCCCATAGTCCTTTTATAGATAGGTACAAATCAACCTTGTTCCATGTTCTCCCTTTTCAGGCCACTTTTGCACCCTTCGCCTCACAGCTGCCCAAATTCATTGAGCTCCCAGCCTCATCACCTCTCATACCAAGGTACAGTCAGTCTCATCACCTCTCATCACCTCTCATACCAAGGTACAGTCAGTCAAGCATACATGGATGGAGGGAACAATGACCAGTTCTTTCCTATCCTGATACCATCCCTTGCTCTTTTTCTTTCTTTCTTTGTTCTTTGTTTACTTATTTTTTTACTTATTTGTTTACTTATCTATTTACTCATTCTATTTTATTTGTTTACAGTTTTTTTTTTTATACCAGGACAAACCACCTTCTCCTCCCTGCCCCCAAAACCAGCAAGTCCACGTCCATTTCCATCTACCCCCCAGCTCGCTGCACTTCTTTGGCCGCCAGCAGCGCTATGCGAAGCAGTGACACAAGAGCATTTGGTACTTTCTTGCCAAAACTCCTGCCATTCCCCCCCTCCTCTCTCTCCTCCCCTCCGCCCTATTACCCCCCCAGCTCGCTGCACTTCTTTGGTCGCCAGCAGCGGTATGCAGAGCGGTTCGCATGGATGGCAGGGCCTGGCGTGCTCTTTGGTCACCTCAACCTCAATGCCACTTCTTCCAGGTACGTGCATGTGGCCCATGGGTGGGTGTTGTTTGAGTCGACTTGAAGTTCGCATGGATGGCGGGGCCTGGTGTGCTCTTCGGCCACCTCAACCTAAACGCCACGTCCTCCAGGTATGTGTGGGTGGGTGTTGTCTAAGTCGATTTTCGAGTCGACTTGAAGTTTGCATGGATGGCGGGGCCTGGAGTGCTCTTCGGCCACCTCAACCTAAACGCCACCTCCTCCAGGTGCGTGTGGGTGGGTGTTGCGTTTCAAGACCCAGGCATTCAGCGGTTACTTCCTTTTTTCGCACAAGAAACTCAAGGCCTGGAGTGCTGTTCGGGCACCTCAACCTAAACGCCACCTCCTCCAGGTGCGTGTGGGTGGGTGTTGCGTTTCAAGACCCAGGCATTCAGCGGTTACTTCCTTTTTTCGCACAAGAAACTCAAGGCCTGGTGTGCTCTTCGGGCACCTCAACCTAAACGCCACCTCCTCCAGGTGCGTGTGGGTGGGTGTTGCGTTTCAAGATCCAGGCATTCAGCGGTTACTTCCTTTTTTCGCACAAGAAACTCAAGGCCTGGAGTGCTCTTCGGGCACCTCAACCTAAACGCCACCTCCTCCAGGTGCGTGTGGGTGGGTGTTGCGTTTCAAGACCCAGGCATTCAGCGGTTACTTCCTTTTTTCGCACAAGAAACTCAAGGCCTGGAGTGCTCTTCGGGCACCTCAACCTAAACGCCACCTCCTCCAGGTGCGTGTGGGTGGGTGTTGCGTTTCAAGACCCAGGCATTCAGCGGTTACTTCCTTTTTTCGCACAAGAAACTCAAGGCCTGGAGTGCTCTTCGGGCACCTCAACCTAAACGCCACCTCCTCCAGGTGCGTGTGGGTGGGTGTTGCGTTTCAAGACCCAGGCATTCAGCGGTTACTTCCTTTTTTCGCACAAGAAACTCAAGGCCTGGAGTGCTCTTCGGGCACCTCAACCTAAACGCCACCTCCTCCAGGTGCGTGTGGGTGTGTGCTGTTGGAGTGCGGAGCGGATATCGAATGTGCATTGTCTTCCATAATCATATGGGCATGAAATGCTACGTTATTCTTGAGATTAAAAAGAGCCCTCTAACTAACTCTCGTCCTCCCTTGCTCTCCGTTCTGCTCCTCCAGTCTCCCTTCCGCTCCTCATCTGAGCCCCCCATCCAGCGCAAGTCGTTGCTGCCCTTCGCGAAGCTGCTCCCAGCACTTTCTGTGTCCCACACAGGTACCCTCATCAGTGTCATCGGTGTCCCACACAGGTACCCTCATCAGTGTCATCGGTGTCCCACACAGGTACCCTCATCAGTGTCATCGGTGTCCCACACAGGTACCCTCATCAGTGTCATCGGTGTCCCACACAGGTACCCTCATCAGTGTCATCGGTGTCCCACACAGGTACCCTCATCAGTGTCATCGGTGTCCCACACAGGTACCCTCATCAGTGTCATCGGTGTCCCACACAGGTACCCTCATCAGTGTCATCGGTGTCCCACACAGGTACCCTCATCAGTGTCATCGGTGTCCCACACAGGTACCCTCATCAGTGTCATCGGTGTCCCACACAGGTACCCTCATCAGTGTCATCGGTGTCCCACACAGGTACCCTCATCAGTGTCATCGGTGTCCCACACAGGTACCCTCATCAGTGTCATCGGTGTCCCCTACTCCTCTCCCACCCTCTCCCCTTCCCCCTCCCTACAACTCATCATCAGAGCCCCCCATTCAGCGCAAGTCCCTGCTGCCCTTCACCAAGCTGCTCCCACCTGGCCACCTGGCCACCGCCGATGATACCGATGACAGCACAGCCCCCCCCATTCCCTCTCTCCCACCCTCTCCCTTTCCCCCTTCCCCCTCCCTGCAGCTCCTCATCAGAGCCCCTCATTCAGCGCAAGTCGCTGCTGCCCTTCGCCAAGCTGCTTCCAGCCAGACCCATCGGTGTCCCCTACTCCTCTCCCGCCCTCCCCCCTCCCCCCTTCCCCCTCCCTGCAGCTCATCATCGGAGCCCCCCATTCAGCGCAAGTCCCTGCTGCCCTTCACCAAGCTGCTCCCACCTGGCCACATTAGCAGTGCAGATGATACTGATGACAGTGCTGCTGCAGCTACTGCTGCTGCCATTGCGGCTGCGGTGCATCCGACAGCAATGGCAGTGTCCGAGTTCCATCTGCTGCTGCTCTACAGCGACCACATCAAGGTGCGTGCGATGGCAGCAGAACCGGAATCGTGAGCCGCCGCCTGCCTCTTGCTGTGCTGACGAAAGGGCTGTTCTTTCATGCGCTCTCATCATCCCCCCTCCTCCCCACAGATCGTGAACCAAGTGAGCGAGGCATTGGTAGATCAGCTGCCCTTCCTCTCTCAACCCAACACACACACCGCCCGCCCTTCCAATAGTCTCCTCCTGGCCTGTACTGCATACCTCTTCTTTCCTCAACAGATTGTGAACCAAGTGAGCGAAGCACTGGTGGATCAACTGCCCTTCCACTCTGTTGTTGCCCTCCCTGCTGCACACACACCTGCTTGTTCTCCTCCTTCCCCCTCCCTCACCCTCCCCTTCCCACACCCCACAGATAGTGAACCAAGTGAGCGAGGCACTGGTGGACCAGCTGCCCTTCCACGCCACGGCGCTTGAGATGGCGCCAGGTGGCATGCTCGGATTGGTCGCTGACGAGGCCGCCTCAGCGTACTATGCATTCTGCTCCAACAACATCTATGAGGTGTGCTTTTCACCCCTGTTTCCAATATTCTCACGTATCGTGCTAACAAGTTTGGCGCTCCCTTTTTGAGTTCTCTCAGAAGTCCGTATTGTGCCTCACCCCGCTTCCCGTGCCTCCCTTACCCCGTTCCCTACCTTACACACACTCACACCTCTCTCTCCCCCTTATCCCTTCTTTTCCCCATCTTTCCACCGACTACGCCATGCTTGCAATGCTTACACACACACCCCTTGCTCCCTTACCCTTCCTTGCCATGTACTTCCCCTCCCAGATCGCCGTGTGTGACGAGGCCAGGGCCATGTGGCAGGTGTATCTGGACAGGCACGACTATGCCATGGCCCTCTCCTTCTGCCGCTCGCCCCTGCAGCGCGACCGCGTGTACGCCGCTCAAGCAGAGTCAGCTTTCAAGGACGGAGATTATGAGCGTGCGGCCACCTTCTTTGCTAGAGTGAGTCTCTGTTTCTAGTGACAGTGACAAGGTGGGTGGGTTCGGACAGTACAGGCACGACTACACATGGCTCTCTCCTTCTGCCGCACGCCCCTGCAGCGCGACCGCTTGTACGCGGCTCAAGCAGAGTCGGCCTTCAAGGATGGGGACTACGAGCGAGCCGCCACCTTCTTTGCTCGGGTATGCCTGTCTGTATCGTATACAGTGTGCCTCGACAAGGTGGGTGGGTGGGTCTGAACCGGACAGGCACGACTATGCCATGGCCCTCTCCTTCTGCCGCACGCCCCTGCAGCGCGACAGGGTGTATGCCGCCCAGGCGGAGTCAGCTTTCAAAGACGGGGACTACGAGCGAGCCGCCACCTTCTTTGCTAGAGTGAGTCTCTCGGTTTGCAGTGACAATGACAAGGTTAGGGGGGTCGGGCAGGTGTATCTGGACAGGCACGACTACGCCATGGCCCTCTCCTTCTGCCGCACGCCCCTGCAGCGAGACAGGGTGTATGCCGCTCAAGCGGAGTCAGCGTTCAAGGATGGGGACTACGAGCGAGCCGCCACCTTCTTTGCTCGGGTGATTGTGTACTGGATGGACTGACACGTAATGGGCTCGCCCCTGCAGCGCGACCGTGTGTATGCGGCCCAGGCTGAATCCGCTTTCAAAGACGGGGACTACGAGCGAGCGGCCACTTTCTTTGCTCGGGTATGTGTTTCTACATCACACACACGGTGAGTGTGTACTGGACTGGTCTGCACTGCCACTGATTTCACCCCTGCAGCGCGACCGCGTGTATGCCGCCCAGGCGGAGTCTGCCTTCAAAGACGGGGACTATGAGAGAGCCGCCACCTTCTTTGCTCGGGTATGCCTTTCTACACCTCACAGTGAGTTGTTGGGGTGGGGCAGGGTGCAGGTGTATCTGGGCAGATATGAACGCCTCTGGAGCGCGACCGCGTGTATGCCGCCCAGGCTGAATCCGCGTTCAAAGACGGGGACTACGAGCGAGTTGCCACCTTCTTTGCCCGGGAATGCCTCTCGACACCTCACAGAGGGTCGGGGCTGCTTTGCTCTGTGCCTGCACTCACATCCCTCCATCCACCCACCACCCGCCCAACCCCCCCCCCAACCAGACGGCCCGTCAGGTGCCATTTGAGGAGGTGGCGCTGAAATTCGTGCAAGCGGAGCAGCAGCAGCAGGATGGGCTGCTTTGCTTGCTCCGTGCCTGCTCTCACTCAAATCCATCCTACCCTCCCTCCACCAGACGGCCCACCAGGTACCCTTTGTAGAGGTGGCACTCAAGTTCGTGGAGGCGGGGCACCCTTGTCTCCTGCCACCACTCACCACCACTTCCCACCACGTCTCTCCCTCCCTCCACCAGACGGCACACCAGGTACCCTTCGAGCAGGTGGCACATTCGTGGAGGTGGGGCGGGAGGACGCTCTGAGGAGGTATCTGCTCTGCTCCTGTCCTGCACAGCCAATGCCTGCTTTGCGCTGCCCTCTTCATCCGCCCTCTCGCTTGCCACCACCAGACGGCACACCAGGTGCCCTTTGAGGAGGTGGCACTCAAATTCGTGGAGGCGGGGCAGCAGGACGCTCTGAGGAGCTTCCTGTTGCACAAGCTGGACCACCTACCCAAGCAGGAGCGGGCGCAAATGACAATGGTGGCCACGTGGGCTTCAGAACTGTATCTTGACAAGGTAACACATGTGCGCCGGACACAAAAGCACAAGCACATGTACTGTGTGCAGCGGTAACGAGGTGCACTCATCTTCTTTCCAGTCACCACCTCTTCTTGAGTCGCAACAAGGGTGCCACAAGTTTCTGATTCCCAAGTTCATGTTTTACGTCCCTTTCCTTCCTTCCTTCCTTCCTTCCTTCCTTCCTTCCTTCCTCCTCATTCTCCTATGCTCCCTTCTCTCCTGCCAGAGGAACATAGAAGCCTGTGGTTCACTCTTTCCTGTTTCCTGCCGCCCTCCTGTTCCCTTCGTTTCCCTCCTCTCCTCTCCCTATCCCTCTCCCTGTCTGCCTCCACTTCCCTACGGCCTACTTCAGATAAACCGATTGCTGCTCCAGCTGCCACCGGATTTTGAGAAGCACGATTCCATGCATAGCAAGTCCGAGTCCGGTTCTGCTGCTGCTGCTGCTGCTGCTGCTGCTGCTGCTGCTGCTGCTGGCGTTGCTTCTGGTACTGTTGGTACTGCTGCTGTGGAAGGATCAAGGACGGAAGATTCAGGAGGTGCAAAGGAGGGCCCAGGAGTGGAGAGGTTGCGAGAGGAGTACAGGAGGGTGGTGGCAGCGTTTCGAGCGTTTCTCAGTGACTGCAAGGAAGTGCTGAATGAAGCCACCACTGTGAAGCTGCTCGCCAGGTGGGTGACATATGGTAATGAGCGGTGGTGCGTGGTGGTGAGGGATGGTGAGGGGTAATAACAAGTGCTGATTGAGTAACGGACTGCAAGGACGTGCTGAATGAAGCCACCACTGTGAAGCTGCTCGCCAGGTGGGTGAGGGGTAGTGAGGGGTGTTGAGGTGTGGTGATTGGTAATGAGGGGCAATTCGTTCTGCGGATTGGGTTTGACCTGGGTTGACCTGTGTTGAGGTGGATTGACCTATGTTGACTTGTGTTGACTTGTGTGTCCCTGCAGCTACGGTCGGGAGGAGGAGCTGGTGTATTTTGCAGGACTGAAGCAGCGGCACGAGACAGTCATCGAACACTTTATACGGGTATGAATGTTTTGAGACGTCTCACATTCTGAGCTATTAGTAAGCAGCTGCTTCAAGTGGTCGATAAAAATTTCCCTCTCTCTCACCTCCCTCCCCCCCTCTCCTGTCTCCCCCATCTGCCTGCTGAAACATGTTATCCAATCCGCTGTCGCCACCTCAGCAAGGCGATGCTGACTCAGCAATCGCGGTGCTGCGCCGACCCTCAGTGCCTCTAGAGCTTCTGGTATGCTGCCCTCACCTCATTCACCCCCCTTATTATCACTCTCATGAACAGTACGGTGACTCTTCTGCTCCCTTTACTGTCACATCTCCTAACAGCACAATTATCACTGCCTCTGTTGCTATCACATTCCCCATAGTACCTTCTCTTCTCGTGCTATTTTGTCAAAACGCCCTCTGTCACCTCTCCCCTCTTGCCCGTCCCTCATGGGCCCGCCCATCCCCCTCCCTGCCAGTACGAGTTCTCACCGGCTCTCGTACTCCTGGCTCCATCCAGCACCGTTGACCTCTGGATCATCTCTGCCTCTGCTGCTTCAGCTCCTGCTGCTGCTCTTGCTGCTGGTTCAGCAATGTCTGCCGCGTCTCATACTCTTCCCTCTCCCCGTTCTCCCTTCTTCTCCGTTCTCCCTTCTTGTCCGTTCTCCCTTCTTGCCCATTCCCCCTTTGCCAGTACAAGTTCTCACCGGCTCTCGTGCTCCTGGCTCCGTCCAGCACCGTTGACCTCTGGATCATCTCTGCCTCTGCTGCTTCTCATTTCCTTCCCCTTCTGTCCCCCCTTCCACTGCTTGCCCATCCATTCCCTCCCCTTCCTTGCCAGTACAAATTCTCACCGGCTCTCGTGCTCCTTGCTCCCTCCAGCACCGTTGACCTCTGGATCATGTCTGCCTCTGCTTCTACTGCTGCTGCTTCTGCTTCTTCTGCCGGTTCTGCTGCTACTGCTGCCGCTGCCGCGGCTGCCGCCGCATCTGGGTTTGATCCTCGACGGCTTATCCCAGCTATCATGCGCTGCGCTACAGCCGCCAATGGTGCTGCCACAGCCACCTCTGGTGCTGCTACAGGCGGTAGTAGTGGTGCTGCTACTATTACCAGCAACCAGCCAAATGAAGCCGTCCGGTTTTTGGAGTTTTGTGTGCACAGGCTGGGATCCAGAGATCCTGCCATCCACAATCTGCTGCTCTCTCTCTATGCTGACCAGGTCTGTTGATCTGAATCTGTTTCGGTACACCCTTCCTCACGTATATATATGTATGTATACATATATATATATATATATATATATGTATATATATATATACACATGAATGAATTTCCTTCCCTGTCTTCTCCTGCCAATGAGTCATCCCTTGTCGACTTTCTCTTACGAATCCTGCGCCCGCGACCACCCGCACCTCTCACCTCTCACATCCCCCAACCCCCACCTCCATGAACCCTTCGCTCACCTCTGCCCATTTTTCTTTGCCCCTTTTTTCCCTCTTATTCTGTGCACACTGCTCCCATGTCTAAGCAGGCGAATGAAACATCCCTGGTCAACTTCCTCTCTTGGATCCCTCCTCCCCCACCACCACACAACCTCCTCCTCTCCTCCACCCCCTCCTTCCCCACCATTCCCTCCTCCTCCTCCTTCTCCTCCTCCTCCTCTCCCTCTGCTGCAGCTGCAGCAGTGGGGGCAGCAGGCCGCTCCCCCGCCGTCACACCCACCGGCACCGCACTCAACCTCTCTCCACGCCTAGCCACTGCTGGTGACAGTAGTGGCAGCAACGGAGAAGCAGGAGGAAGAGGAGCGGGAGGAGCAGCAGCAGCAGGGGCGGCAAGGGGAGTAATCATTTACGACCCTAAGTTCGCTTTGAGGGTGTGTTTAGAGCGAAGGCGGATGCGGGGGTGCGTCTGCGTCTACAGTACCTTGGGAATGCATCAAGAGGCCGTAGCCCTGGCGCTCCAGATTGACGTGGCACTGGCAAAACGAGAGGCCAATAAGGCGAGAGAACAGGATCTCAGGCGATCGCTCTGGCTAATGATAGCGCGCCACGTCATCGAGCAGGGGCTAGCAGGGCGAGCCGTGATTGGCGGAGAGGATACTGGGAGGATTGAGAAGAAGGAAGGGGAGGAGGAGGAGGAGGAGGAGGAGGAGGAGGAGGAGGAGGAGGAGGAGGAGGAGGAGGAGAAGGAGGGAGAATGAGACGGGAGGGGAGGATGGGGAGGAGAGTGCAATGCGGCAGAACGTCCGAAGAGCAATTGCACTTTTGAAAGAAACCGAGGGTTTGCTGAAAGTCGAAGACATCCTCCCTTTCTTCCCGGATTTCACCTTGATAGATGATTTCAAAGACGCCGTATGTGAGTCATTAGAGGCATACGGGCAAGAGATCGACCGGCTAAAGGCCGAAATGACCGAGGCGACCCGGGCGGCGGACACGATCCGGAGGGACATCCAGGCGCTGAGTCAGCGCCACGTCATCGTGTCCACGCGGGAGACCTGTGGCGTCTGCTCTCGTCTGATTCTCGCCGTCCCGCCGCCCCAGAAAACGCTGCTGTCTGGTTCTGCTGCAGCCGGCACTGGTGCTGCCGCTGGTGCTGGTGCTGGTGCTGCTGCTGCCGGCACTGCTGGTGGTGGTCTTTCTGGTGCTGCAGCAGCAGTAGCAGCAGCAAGCCTAGCAACAGCATCGGCATCAGCAGCGGCAGCAGAGGCAACGCCCTTCTATGTGTTCCCCTGCTCCCACGCCTTCCACATTGACTGCCTGCTCACCCACGTGGTTCAACACTCCGATCCATTCCTGGTGAGGTGCTTTTCAGAAAGGTACTTTTTGGGGAGGTGTCTTCCAGGGGAGGTGTTTTTGGGTGAAGTATCTATGTGCTCCCCTGCCTTCCACATGTCTCCCTGCTCACCCACATGGTTCAACACTCCGACCCCTTCCTGGTAAGGTGTCTTTCAGGGGAGGTGTTTTCTCGAGGGGGTATCGTCTGAGCTAACTTCACCGCACAGTATCTTACTGCATTGCCCCTTGGGTCATATTCACGCCTTGTTCCCCTTTTCTACTACCACCCAACCTCAGATGGAGCATGTGCTGGAGTTGAAACAGCAGGTGCTGGGAGTGCTGGAGACCTGGAGAAGGGGTAGCAAGCAGCAGGGAGCAGCAGCAGCAGCAGCAGCAGCAGCAGCAGCAGCAGGTGGATTGGGAGGACTATCTGTCTAGGTTACTCAATTACATGCCTTGTTCCCCTTTTCTACTACCACATGACCTCAGATGGAGCATGTGTTGGAGTTGAAGCGGCAGCTGCTGGGAGTGCTGGAGACCCCGAGGAGGGGTGGCAAGCAACGGGGCGCAGCAGCAGGAATGGGAGGAGCAGGAGAGGGAGATGGTGACGTGGTGGACATTCATGCGGGACTCTCACCGATTGATAAGGTAAATTTTTACAGGGGCAAATTTGGGCATTGGTCGGGTTGGTTTCTGTCTGAGGATACCGTATCTGAAATGCCCTTTTTTGGTTTTCTTTTCCACGCATTTATTTGTTTGCTTGTTACTTGTAAACTCACTGTTATGCATTCGCTTTTCCATGCTGGTTTGAATGTCTTCTTACCACATACTGGCAGGTGAGGTTGCAGCTGGATGAAGCAATTGCCAGTGAGTGCCCTTTTTGCGGTTCACTGATGGTGGCTAGCACATCTGAGCCGTTGATCGCTGCTCATGAAGGAAATGTGCTCGATGCATGGAGCATTTGACTTCCTCAAGCGATACTACGGCGGTTGTCAAATTCTGGCATGTGTTTTATATTGTCAGAAATTGTATTTCTATGTATAACTGCATATTAGCTTAGTTAGTGTAGTATCTATTTCATTGTTGGTGGTATACCCCCCTTGGCCACCTTCCCTTGCCCTATTTCTTGTAACTCTCTCCATAGTGTCAAATGTTGTAGCCTATAGTGAGGTTTGTCTTAGGGGGTACAAAACTTAGGGTTAGCTATATGTACCCCAACCAACATCAATGCATCATCCATTCTTCATTTTGACATGGTATCAGAGCAGTTAGGATCCTGTGGGATCCCGTTCCGCCGTTCTCCGTTCGTACCACCCGAGCCTGATCCTAGCTCTCGTTCGTCTCCTTCTCGTTGTTACCGAGCCTAGCGCCGAGCCACGCTCTCGTTCGTATCGTTCCAGCTGTTACCGAGCCTAGCATCGAGCCACGCTCTCGTTCGTAGCGTAGCCCGCCCCCCCCCCCCGTCGCGTCGCCTTCCCCCCCCCCCCTCGAGTCGCGCCCGTCCCTTTCCCCCTGTCGCGTCGCGCTCCCCCCGTCGCGTCGCGTCCGCGCCTTCCCCCCGTCGTGTCGCCTTCCCCCTGTCCCGTCGCGCCCCCCCCTTTCCCCCCGTCGTGTCGCTTTTCCCCTGTCCCGTCGCACCCGCCCCTGTCCCGTCGCACCCGCCCCTTTCCCCCCGTCACGTCGCCTTCCCCCTGACCCGTCGCACCCGCCCCTTTCCCCCCGTCACGTCGCCCTCCCCCTGTCCCGTCGCTCCTGCCCTCTTCCCCCGTCGCGTCGCCCGTCCCGCAGCGCCCGCCGCTGTCGCTCGCGACCGCACTCGTCGCCGCCGCGCCTGCAGCCGTCGCCCGCCCCCTGCGCGCCTCGCTGCGGCCCCGCCGTCGTCGCCCGCCGCTGCGCGCGTCGCCGCTGCGCCCCCTGCCGTCGCCCGCTGCGCGCGCTGCTGGCCCCTGCTGCCGTACGCGCTGCCATCGCCCGCCGCTGCGCCCGTTCTCGTTCTCCGCTGCTTAGTCCCCTGTTACCTCCCGCTGTCACGCCCGCTGTGGCGTCCGCTCCTCCCCTGTCCCAGAGTACCGCCGAACCCTAATTTGCCTCTCATCTACTGCTGTCCCCTCCCTCTCCGTTCGCGTTCGTTTTCGCTATGGCGACTCAGCGTGTCCTTCGTTTCGACGCTGACGGTAGACCTCTTGATTTTTCCGTCTGGCTTCTTCGTGCTCGCCGTCTGTTAGAGAGTCAGGTCCAGGCAGGCGAGTCCCTCTGGGCGCACGCTACTGGTGCCCTACCTGCGCCCCCCGACCCTACGCCTTTAGGACCTGCCCCTGACGACGCCGCTAGAGCCCGCTTTGCCACTCAGCGAGCTGACCAGACGGCTTGGACGTCACGTGACGCTGCGGCCTGCATCGCGCTCAGCAGCCTCCTCCCTGAGTCTGAGGAGGTTCACTTCACTCAGGTTCGCACCGCTGCTGCGTACCTCACTGCGATTAAGGCCCGCTACTCTACTCCCGCTGCTGTCTCTCTTGGCCGCCTGTTCCTCCCGTTCCTGTTTCCTGACCTGGCGTCTTTTGAGCGCTCTGCTGACTTGATCGCTCACCTCCGCTCGCTCGACGCTAGTTACCGCGCTGCTTGCACTGAGGCACAGCTTGCACTGCTTCCTCCCCCTATGGCGATTACTATCTATTTCATCGCCACTAGCCTCCCTGACCGCCTTGCCTCCGTTCGCGACGCGCTTCTGCTGAAGCACCCTAGTGAGCTCACCGTCGAGGTCCTTGAGTCTGCACTCAAGGACGTCGAGAGCAACCTTCGCTCGGTAGCCGCTGCCTCTGGTGCTGTGCCCCCCCACTCTTCCACGGGTGCACAGTCCCGCAGTTACCCACCTTTACTGCCTCACTTGCCACTGCCGCTACTGACGCGACTGCAGCTGCTGTTACGACTGCGTCGCGGTCCCGCGGTAGGAGTGGCAAGAAAGGCGGTTCTGGTGGTGGTAGTGGAGGTGGAGGCGGAGGTAGTGGAGGTGGCGTTGCGCCTGGCGGCGGTGGAGGTTCAGGGCCTGGAGAGGCGCCTCGTGCAGTGACTGGTGACTCCACTGCGCCTGCTGGTGGTGGCGACGCCCGAGTTCGTCAGTCGCCTCCTGTACTTCCTGCCCCGGTTGGTGGAGCAGCGGCGTGGTACCAGGCTCAGCGTCAGCAGCAGCTTCTGCAGCACCAGCAGCCCCTCTCCTCCCAGCAGCCTCAGCAGCAGCAGCGGCAGCAGCTGGCTCCAGGGTCGGGGCTGCGTCAGACCCAGCGCGGTGCTGCTTACACTCCCTGCACCTACCAGGTTCTGACAGGCACTCGTCGTGGCCACCCTTGTGGCCGGTTTCACCCCCCTGGTCAGTGCTTTGCTCAGCTCACTGACACGGTTCGTTTGGTCTACGGGGTTGGTGCTCCTGCCCCTGACTGGCTGCCTCTTGTTCAGCGCTACGGCTCCGCTCTGTGGGGCATGTCTGCTGAGCAGTTAGTTGATCTGATTGGTACTCCCCATGCTATGTATGCTGTTGTTGACTCTAGTGTTTCTGACTCTGCTTACTCTGGTGTTGTTAGCTTAGGTGCTAGCCTTGCTCAGTTGCCTGTTGCTAGTGTAGGTTCTTGTGTAGACTCTAGTCCAGCGGCTACCTCAGAGGACGGTTCGCTGTCGTTCACGCTGGACTCTGGAGCCTCTCACTGCTTCTTTCGTGACAGCACGACACTTACGCCTCTTCCTGCGCCTGTTTCTGTGGCGCTGGCTGATCCCACTTCGGGACCAGTCACCGCGCGTCACACTACCACCTTGCCGTGTCCGGCTGCTCCTTCTGGGTCTCTCACTGGGTTTCACGTCCCCTCGTTCTCCCGGAACTTGGTGGGCGTGCGACCCCTCGTGAGTCAGCACGTGGGTGTGTGGTTTGAGCCTTCTGGAGAGACTGCGGTGTGTGTTGACGGGGACTCTTACCAGCCCCTCGCCACTTTTGCTGCTGAGCCGGGCTCCGGTCTCTACACTCTTCACACTGGCCCGCGCCCTCAGCAGCGACTGCAGCAGCAGCAGCAGCAGCAGCAGCAGCCGCAGTCGCAGCCACAGCCGCCGCCCCTCCTGCCCACGGCCCCTGTTTTGCCCCCCGTTCGAGTCCTCGCGTCTCACCAGGTTGCTCCGTCCCCCCAGGTAGCTGTGTCTTGTCAGGTTCCTCCGTCTAGTCCGGTCGCTGCGTCGTGCTCCTGTCGGTCGCTTGCCCACCCCACCGTTTTGTGGCACCACCGGCTGGGGCACCCTTCTCCTCCTCGTCTTCGCGCTATGTCTCGTCAGCGTCTTGTCTTAGGTCTCCCGCGTGTCTTGCCGTCGCTGCCGCCGTCCCTTGCACCACCGTGCGGTCCTTGCGTCGAGGGTAGGCTGCGCGCCACCCCTCACTCCTCCTCCCTTCGTCCGGCCACCGAGCCTTTTGAGACGCTGCACTTGGACGTCTGGGGCCCCTCTCCTCGCCCTGGCCCTGAGCGTGAGCGTTTCTTTTTGGTGGTCGTTGACGACTACTCCCGCTACACCACAGTGTTCCCCCTGGCGAGGAAGTCTGAGGTGACTTCTACGCTGATCAGGTGGTTGCTTACCACCCAGGACACTCGTGGTCGTCGTGTCAGCTGTCTCCACTCCGACCGCGGGGGCGAGTTTCGCTCCGGCATTCTCGCTGGATTCTGTCGCGAACAGGGCATTCGTCAGTCCTGGACGCTTCCGGAGTCCCCACAGCAGAATGGGGTTGCTGAGCGTCGCATAGGCCTGGTCATGGAGATTGCCCGCACCTCCTTGACTCACGCCCGTGCCCCCCATTTCCTGTGGCCATACGCGGTCAGGTACGCCGCGCACCAGCTGAACCTCTGGCCACGCGTCTCTCGGCCGGAGGCTTCACCGACCAGTCTTTGGACAGGGTCCCCTGGTGTCGCGTCGAGGTTTCGTGTCTGGGGGTGCTTGGCTCTTGTCCGCGACACCTCCGCGGACAAGCTCTCGCCTCGCGCCGTTCCTTGTGTTTTCCTTGGTTTCCCTGAGGACTCCTCTGACTTCACCTTTTACCACCCTCCCTCTCACCGGTTCTTTGACTCCCGTGACGTCCGTTTCGAGGAGTCCACCCCCTACTACGTCAGGTACCCCAGTCGAGGTCTCCCGGTCCCTCCCCCCCCTCTCTTCCTGACCGCCGCTCCCCCGCCTGCTCCCCCGGTACAGCCTCCCCCCCTGGTCCAGCCCCGTCTGGTGTGTCTCAGGCTAGCCCTCCCCCTTCGGTAGCCCCCCCTGTACAGCCTCCCTCCCCACAGTCTTCCTCGCCGCCTCCTGCAGGTGCTCCCTCTCGAGAGGTTGGTCCTGCGACTGTCCCTGTACAGGTCTCTGGTTCTGGGGGTGCTGGAGTTGGAGCTGAGCCGCGGGTTGCAGAGGACTCTTGTCTTCCGGGGGCTGGTACTGGTCGTGCGGAGTCTGGGGGTGCTGGTGCGGAGTCTGGGGGTGAGGGTGTCCCTTCGGTTTCTGGAGAGCCTGGGTCTGGAGCTGGTGTTGGTGCTGCCTCTGGGGGTGGTGTGCTTGGTGCTTCGGAGGTCGACTCTGGGGCTGCCGCTGCCCCGGACACTACTCCTTCCCCCCACCCCTACCCGACCAGGTTCCAGGCTCGTGTTCGCCGTGCTCGTGAGGAGCAGCTGGAGTTGGAGAGAGAGGAGAGAGAGTTGCAGCGGCTCGAGGAGCAGGAGCGACAGCAGCAGGAGCAGCAGCAGGAGCAGCAGCAGAGGCAGCAGCCGCTGGAGCAGCAGCAGCCACAGCAGCCGCAGCAGCAGCAGCAGCAGCTGCTGCCGTCTCCTCCTCCTGTCTCGGGTCTTCGGACCCTTGGTCTCCCGTCTCCCTCTCCTTCCTCCTCCCCCTCTCCTCCCGTCTCTGGTCCTCCGCTTCCTCCTCCTGACCCCTCTCCCGCTGTTTTCCCTCGTTCTCAGTCTTCGTTGTCTCCTCCTCCTTCTCAGACTTGGGCCTCTCGTCGCTCCCCTCGTGCTCGTCCCTCGTCTCCTGTTCCCTTCACTGACCTTCGTACAGCCTTCCTTTGTTCTCGTCCACCTCGTCCGTCTCCGTCTGTGCTTCCGTCTCCTCCTGAGTCGGCCCTCACTGTGTCGCTTCCTTCTCCTGTCACTGACTACTACCGCACGTACCGTCCTGTTCTCTCTCGTGTTCTCGCCTCTCTTGTTACCCACCCTCGTGCCTCTGTGTCCTCTGTGTCCGCTCTTACTGCCGCAGTCACTGAGTTTGCCTCTACCCGCCGCCTTGACTTCGCCACCGCTCTTGTGGCTGCTCCTCCTTCCAGTCCTCTGGCCGTCGGGGGTGTGTCTGCCCTTGGCAGTGACGCCCTAGAGGACAGGCAGTTTGAGCTAGAGTTCCTGGCGGCCGCTTCCCCTCATCTCTGTGCCATGCTCCTCGCCCCTGAGGGTGACCCCGACGCCCTTGACATTCCGACTCCTCGCACTTACGCTGAGGCAGTGTCAGGGCCTTGGGCCTCTCAGTGGAGAGCTGCCATGGACGCAGAGATGGCCTCCTACAGATCCACAGGCACCTACGTCGATGAGGTTCCCCCTCCGGGGGCGAACGTAGTCGACGGCATGTGGATCTACAGGGTGAAGCGGCCACCGGGATCTCCTCCGGTCTTCAAGGCGCGCTACGTGGCTAGAGGTTTCAGTCAGCGCGAGGGAGTTGACTTCTTTCAGACCTTCGCGCCCACCCCGAAGATGACCACTCTTCGGGTGTTACTACACGTAGCAGCACAGAGAGACTACGAGTTACACTCTCTCGACTTCTCTACTGCTTTCCTTCAGGGCAGTCTTCACGAGGAGGTCTGGTTGCGTCGTCCCTCTGCCTTCACTGGCTCTTTCCCTCCTGGGACCCAGTGGAGGCTGAGGCGACCGGTTTACGGTCTTCGTCAGGCTCCTCGTGAGTGGCACGACACCCTGCGTTCTACCCTGTCTGACCTTGGGTTCCAGCCGTCTTCTGCTGACCCGTCGCTGTTCGTTCGTCGTGGCCCCACACCTTTCTTTGTTCTGGTCTACGTTGACGACCTTGTTTTCGCCACCCCTGACAGGGTTGCTTTGGCACACGTGAAGTCCGAACTACAGAAGAGACACACCTGCACTGATCTTGGTGAGCTGCGCCACTACCTTGGCCTGCAGATCACCAGGGACAGAGCTGCTCGCACCATTACACTTTCACAGTCGCACATGGTGCAGCAGGTCCTTCAGCGGTTCGGGCTTCAGCACTCCACAGTACAGCGCACACCTCTTGCTGTTGACCACAGACTCACTGGACCCTTTCCTGACGAGCCGTTCGAGCCTAGTGGTCCCTACGCAGAGCTTGTGGGTTGCCTCATGTACCTGATGACTTGTACTCGCCCGGACCTCGCCTTCCCTCTCAGCGTTCTTGCGCGCTTTGTTGCGCCAGGGAGACACCGTCCTGTTCACTGGACAGCAGCTGTGAGGGTGGCGAAGTACCTAGCGACGACATCAGGCGTGGGGCTAGTTCTTGGAGGACAGCAGTCTGTCGTACTTACTGGTCACTGTGACTCCTCTTACGCTGACGACGCTGAGACTCACAGGTCTACTCAGGGGTACTGTTTCAGCCTGGGTTCTGGAGCTGTTTCCTGGCGGTCCACGCGCTCCTCTTCGGTCTCGACCTCTACAGCTGAGGCTGAGATCTACGCTGGTGCCATGGCGGCACAGGAGCTGCGTTGGTTGACCTTCTTGCTCACCGACCTTGGTGAGCGGCCGAGCTCTGCACCGACCTTGTTCACTGACAACAAGGCGTCTATTCTCCTTTGTCGAGAGCCACGACTGGAGAGCAGAGTGAAGCACATTCACGTCAGGTACTTTCTTCTGCGAGAGTTGCAGAGGCGTGGACAGGCTCGCTTTGAGTTTGTGGAGTCAGAGGCCAACACTGCAGACATCTTCACCAAGGCGCTTCCGCCTTGTGACCACCAGAGGTGCTGTGTGCAGTTAGGCCTTGTTGACACTGGTTCTCGTGTTGCTTAGACTTGAGTGTACTGTTTACTTTGCTTTCTATATATCTCTGTTACTTCTTGGACTGGCCTTGTGGCCACTGTTGTTTGTGCTCAGACTGTGTGGTGACGTTGTGATCCACCCTGAGCTTTGTTTCTTGGACTGGTCTTGTGACCGTACTCGTTTGGTTCTGCTAGACACCCCTCACTTAGGCTATGGGGGTGTGTCAAATGTTGTAGCCTATAGTGAGGTTTGTCTTAGGGGGTACAAAACTTAGGGTTAGCTATATGTACCCCAACCAACATCAATGCATCATCCATTCTTCATTTCGACACATAGTCAAACCCCTTCTTGCTTGGCCAAACATCCTCTCTCTTCCTAAAACCTAATTTCTCCTAAGCCTACTATTCTAACATGCTATCAGAGCCACTACGGTCTTAGGACCTATTTTATTTTTAAGAATCATGGGCCCGCCCGTACTACAGCGCGAAATGCGCTATTTTTTTTCCCGTTCGCCCGTCACGCGCGCCCTGCCCGTCCCCCCGAACGTGCCACGTCGGCTGCCTCGCGGACGCCCCGTCGGCTGCCCCGCGGACGCCCTGCCCGTCGCCCTGCGCGCGTCCCGTTTGCGGCCCCGCGTGCGCCTTGTTGGCTGCCCCGCGGACGCCCTGCCCCGCGCGCGCTCTGCCCGTCGCCCCGCGTGCGCTTCGTCGGCTGCCCCGCGCGCGCTCTGCCCGTCGCCCCGCGCGTGCCCTGCCAGCGCGGACGTCAGCGCCAGACGCCGGAGCAACGGCCAGCGCCTGCGCCAGCGCCACCGCCAGCGCCAGCAGCAGCTACCGCCGCCCCACCCCCCGCCCTCCCTTCCGCGGCTTCCGTCGTGGGGGGAGGGGGGGGAGGGGGAAGGGGAGATGTGGGGGTGGCGGGTGTGAGCCTCCAGCAACCCGTCCCTCCCCTCTCTCTTCCTCTCTTCCTGCAGCACTAGTTGCGGTAGGAGGAGGGGGGGGGGAGAGGAGAGAGGTTAAGGGGGGATGAGAGAGGTTAAGGGGGGACAAAAGAGATAGAGAGAGAAAGGGTCTCTTCTTTTCTGTTTTCTACTTTCGTAATGTTTTCTTGTCGTTCGTTCCTTTTCTCCGTCGTTTCTGGGCGTGGTCACCCAGAGTCGCGCACACCAGGCATCCACTGCGGGGGTTAAACCGCAGGCGGGAAACTCCATCGTGTGTTGTATCGGTGGGCCCAGCTGCGGCCCGGTGAAGTCTGCACTTAGGGTAGAGCGCCCCTCACTAGCTATGCTTGTATGCAGTTAAGGGGGGATGTCAGAAATTGTATTTCTATGTATAACTGCATATTAGCTTAGTTAGTGTAGTATCTATTTCATTGTTGGTGGTATACCCCCCTTGGCCACCTTCCCTTGCCCTATTTCTTGTAACTCTCTCCATAGTCAAACCCCTTCTTGCTTGGCCAAACATCCTCTCTCTTCCTAAAACCTAATTTCTCCTAAGCCTACTATTCTAACATGCGTATATCTCTAAGCCGCATCGCATGTCCCTTGAATACCAAGTCAGGGATATCCTCCTCCAAACCAAGGAGTTTCTTTCCGGAGCCGAAAATAAGGATGGATGTTGCAGGAATGTACTACTGCACAGCTTATACCGAAAGTATCCCCGCACACACATAACCCCGCGCCTCGTCCACGATGAAGCTGCCGTACCGTCAGCTTCGTGCGCACGTCCGCACTTCGCACCCAGCCATCTCCGAGCCAAAATGGTTGATCAGCCAAATAAATTGAACCACGTCAGCAGTTCACGAGCTCCCCTGGCAGCTTTGCTGGTCGTGGTCAGTCAAGCACCACTTCAGCCCCTCTCCACAGCATCGCGCCGCGAAATCCCTTCGCAACCATCACGCACGCACAGGAAGCAGGCAAAGCAATGTCAGCAGACTTCACGAATCACGAAATATCGAGCTGAGATGCGCGACGCGGGATCGATTTGAAATGAATTTCGTGGGTGGCCTGTGGTCGGGGATTGGAGATTTGAAACTCCTCCCACCCCACCACCGCTGTTGCTTGTCCAATGTCGCTTGCTTCGCTCACTTCATGGCATGATGTTCTCGTGCGCGCGTCAACCCACGCCTCCGTGAAACCCGTTCGCACTGCCCTCGGTAGCAACCTGAAAACACCCTCTCACCCACGTCGCGAGTTTCACCATACCACATGGCATCCGAGCGGTGAAACATGTTGAGGAACGGCGGAGATTCCCCCCGGTCGCTTCTCGAAGCGTGAGATGAGTGCGGCATCATTGTGCTTGCGTGGCAACGCAAGGACGTACGATTCCGTTTCAAGCACAGATGCAAGGAATGCTGTCAGTCGACCAACACGACCATGCGGGCGCTAACCATCGTCGTCAATTCTTTCCTTAATCTACCTACGACGACATTCAGTAGAGCTCAAAGTTGAGGCACATAATATCCACTATTCCGCCAATGGCAAGTCTAGGGCATGATACCACAATTGTAGGCATTGCAGTGATCTAGTGAGGCCTTTCCCTCTCGAAGTCGTCTGGTAGCCCTCCACATGCTCATCAGTCCTAGCGGTCTCGAAGTCGTCTGGTAAAAAACGGTTTTCCCTATTCACGAGTTTCTCCAGTCAAAGGTTGATGTGTCATTGCCGCTAATCTATCCGAACCATGAAGTCTAGGCGGAACCTTCGTCGCATTGCGGCTGTCCACCCCGAGCCGCGCTCGCTTCTGTTCCCCGAGGTCCCCATTCGCGGCTCGAGAGATGAAGGCAGGAAGCTCGCGACCGAGTCGCTTTCAGGAAGCAATGGCGCATCGCCGGGAATCGCGGTAGCGCAGATGACGCTGGATCAGGCTATTGAAGCCTCGGCGCGCGAGCAAAGGCAAAAGCAGCAGCAGCAGCCGCAGCCGGCACCGGCCCAGCCTGCACCGACCCAGCCGGCACCGGCCCAGCCTGCACCGACCCAGCCTGCACCGACCCAGCCGGCACCGTCACAGCCGGCACCGTCCCAGCCAGCACCGTCCCAGCCGGCACCATCCCAGCCGGCACCATCCCAGCCGGCACCGTCCCAGCCGGCACCGTCCCAGCCGGCACCGTCCCAGCCGGCACCGTCCGAGCCGGCAGTGACGACGCAGCCAGTTACCACGCAGCCGCAGCCTGTAACACAACCGCAGCCGCAGCCGCAGCCGCAGCCGCAGCCGCAGCCGCAGCCGCAGCCGAACGATGGGAGCACGCAACCGCCTCTATTCCCTGGCGTCACCCCCGCGCCCGTCGTCACCCCCACTCCCGTCAACAATCCCCCCGTCGCCAGCGGCGGCGGGTTCGGGATCTTCCCCACTGGCCCGGGCGGGTTCACCCCCACGCCCGTGACGCCGGAAACCCCGGCGACCCCTGTGCCCGCGCCGACTACTCCTGTGCCGGCGCCGACAACTCCTGTGCCCGCACCGACGATCCCTGTGCCCGCGCCGACGACTCCTGTGCCCGCGCCGACAACTCCGGTGCCCACACCCAAGACTCCTGTCGTTCCCACGCCTAAGGGGCCTGTCGTCGATCCCACGCCTAAAACTCCTGGCGTCCCCACGCCGACGACCCCTGGCGTTCCCACCCCTACGACTCCTGGCGTTCCCACACCTAAGACACCTGGCGTTCCCAACCCTGCAACTCCTGGCGTTCCCAACCCTACAACTCCTGGCGCCCCCACGCCTAAGACTCCTGGCGTCCCCACACCCACGGCCCCCGGCGTTCCCACACCTAAGACTCCTGGCGTCCCCACACCCAAAGCCCCGGGATCGACTCCCACTCCCAAGCTCCCCCCAACGGCCCCCGGTGCTAAAATTCCCCCCGGCGTCCCAAATCCCAAGACTCCGCCTCTTGCGCCTGGTTCCACGGCCGCGCCTGGCGTTCCGAATCCTAAGCTTCCGCCGCTTGCGCCTGGTTCTACTGCCGCGCCTGGCGTTCCGAATCCTAAGCTTCCGCCGCTTGCGCCTGGTTCGACGGCCGCGCCTGGTGTTCCGAACCCCAAGATTCCGCCTGTAGCTCCTGGCAGTCTCGCCGCTCCCGGCGGAAAAACGGTCCCCTGCGTTCCGCGACCTAAGATTCTGCCGGGGGTCAAACCCCCTGGTGCACCTGGCTCCGCCGCTGCCCCATGTTCGGACTCTGCGCCTGGCTCGGATTCTGCGCCTGGCTCGGACTCTGCGCCTGGCTCGGACTCTGCGCCTGGCTCCGCCGCTGCCCCTGCTAGCCTGTCAGCGCCTGGCTCAGCCTCTGCGCCCGCTTCCGCGCCTGCCAAAGTTCCGAAGCCTGCCCCTGGCTCCGCCAAGGCTCCGGTCCTTGCGCCCGGTTCCACGCGCGCCCCATCCGGCGTGCCCAAAAACGGTTCCCTCACCGCGCCGGCTTCGATCCCCCCGCCGCGCCCCGCGCAGCCCTCCGCGCCGCTCCCGCAGCTCTCTACCTCCGCGAACGCCGCGTCGACCCCCTACGCGACGACCGCCTCCGCGAACACGACCGCGACGGCGGACAGTGGCGGAAGCAGCGTGTCCGCGGCTGCGGTTGCGGGGATTGCAGTTGGTGTGACGTTGGGGTTTGTGTTGCTGGTGGTGCTGGGTCTGTACGTGTTCCTTCTGCTGAAGCGCAAGAAGGACGAGGCCGGTGGCGAGAAGGGGAAAGCGGGCGGTGCGGGCAAAGGGGCCACTAAAAGTGAGTACGCTGTCTGCTTTGTGTGTGCTTGCTGCGTGTGATGGATGGTGTTACAGTTCGTGTTTTTTCCCGCTTGGGTTCTTCTTTTGCATGGTACGTTCTGAGTAATGTGGCCTACACAAATGTACTCACATTTCTCTTTCTCCGACGCACCCGCCTTCAACCCCTTCACTCCCCTTTTTGAACAGGCAAGGTGCCGTTCTACGCAGCTCCGTTCAAGACGAGTAAGGCCACCGCCAATCCGGAAAGCGCGGATGTGCAAGACGGCGGCGAGTCCGGAGTGACGGGAATTCCGCCAGCAGCAGCAGCAGCAGCAGCAGCAGGCGCAGTGGCGACAGGAGCAGCGGTCGCAGCCGCTACCACGGGATCTACCCCTGCTGACAAAGCAGCTGACGTGGCATCTGCTGACGTGCCACCTGCTGGCGCGGCGGCTGCTAATGGCGCAGTGAGTGCTCGCCCCAACGCAAGTCCGCCATCTGCTAAAGCCGGGAACAGCCTGACTCCTCCCCCGGGTGGCGCAAGCCCGCTGGCGAGCGCAGCGGGGGGTGGAACAGCAGCGGCAGGAGCGGGTTCGGCCGCCGGTTCGGCAGTAACTACGGCGGGCTCGGGTGCAGCAGGAGCGACGGCGCCAACTGCGGGTGCGGTTGCGGGTGCTGCGGCGGCAGTAGCGGCAGGAGCGGCGGTGGGAGCAATAGCTGCCACCGCGGCAACAAAGACGCCGGCAGCCGCGAGAGCCGCTGCTGTTCCTGCTGCAGGCGCATCTGGCGCGGGGGTGGTCGCAGGTGCGGCGGCAGCTAAGTCAGGAAACGACGAGGACGAAATCGATCCGTCGGAACAGTGGTGGTTCCCCGCTGAAGAGCTCGACCAGGCTACGGAACGCTTTGCTCTTTCTAATAAGCTCGGATCGGGAACTTTCGGAACGACTTACAAGGGAGTGTTGGAAGACGGGCAGGAGGTTGCAGTGAAAGTGCTGAAAGTGAAGGGTACGCTGAGCGACGACGCATGGAAACGCGACGCGGAGGAGGTTTTCGTGATCCAGCACGAGAACTTGGTTACTTATCTGGGCTATTGCCTCGCGAGTTCGCAGCGAATGCTGGTGCAGGAATTTGTTGCGAACAGTTCGCTTGACGCGGCGCTGCATGGGAGTAACAAGCCAATCCTGGCGTGGAATTTCCGCATGAAGATCGCCAAGGGCGCTGCGAAGGCTCTCGCATTCCTCCACGAAGAATGTAAGCGTCTGCGATCCTAGATATCTCCGCTTCTATGTTTGTTTTTCCTGATCCTAAAATGTTGCCAAAGTTCTAACCCTTCTCTGATTTGCTGTGACTCCCATTTCAATCCTGACAGGCAAACCCCAAATTATTCACAAGGACATCAAGTCATCTAACATTCTGCTGGATGCGCAGTACGGGGTCAAGGTGAGCATACATACCTGTGCTGTCCCAAATTCAGGTACATTTCCCAGCACACATTTGAAAACTTTGTATCTAACTAATTCCTTTTTGTTGTAACTTTTGTTCCTTTCCCTGCCTCAGCTGAGTGACTATGCTTCAGCCAAGCTGGCAGGAGATGCTGCCCTCCCAACCATCGTCAGCTCAGCCGGCTCTTTTGGGTGAGCAAACACACGAGATGACATCATGTAGAATGCTTTCATCTCATGGATATGGTTAGCAATGGCTGCAAACTTCCACCCCCACAAATTTCCCTTTGCGATGTAATTTCGCAGCTACCTGGCGCCAGAACATGCGCTCACGGGCAAGCTCACAGAGAAGTCAGACGTGTACTCGTTTGGAGTGGTCCTGCTGGAGCTTATAACGGGGAGGAAGCCCAGTGACAAGCAGAGGGGACAGAAGGACAGCCTGGTTGAGTGGGTGAGTGTCTTGTGTGATGTGGTTTTATTTACATCACAAGGTGATTCACACATTGGGTGACACATGTCCTTACTGTACTAATCATGCCCTTTCCTCCCTGTCCTTTCAGGCTCGGCCACTCCTGGCCTCCAACACGCTGAAGGAGCTGGCTGACCCGAGCCTGGATGGCTGCTTCGGAGTGAAGGAGATGGATCGTGTCATCGTGGCAGCCTCGCAGTGTGTGAGGCAGTCGGCTGTCCTCCGACCAAGCATGAGCCAGGTAAGAGTTGGTTTTTCGTTGGCATGGTTCCAGGGTCCACGAAAGTCATTTTCTTAGGCCCAGTGTTGCATAGGTTGAATCCAAGCCCTGTCATTTTCTCAAGCCCTGTTTTCTTGTGTGTGCAGGTTCTTCGCCTTCTGGATCAGCAGTGACAATAGCAGTAGAAGTTTGACATTAGTCAAGTAGGTAACAAATGCTTTCTAGGTCGTGTGAGTCGTTTGGAAACATGCAAATGTAGGCATGGTCCAGAATAAGCACAAAGTGCAAACGGCCTGCTAGGAAGTAGTTGTTAATGTATAACTAGCTAGTCGTGTAGTCCTGAGATTGCATAACTTAAGTAATGCCTGCAAACCGAAGTGCCTCCAATCCTCAACAATTTTTTTCCCTATGTCCATTATCCCTTTTTATCAGCTTCAAGCTGAACGCTTCCCCTGAATCATATGATTCGTTTTTTTGAAGTGGCTCAAATTTACTGGTCAGCCGCTCGACTAGTGATACAACGTACCATACGGGTCGGCTGCAGAAGGCAAGGAGGCATTGACCGCAGGTCTAACGAAACATTTTTATCGAAGCAGACCGCACTTCGGCATTAGCACAGAAATCTGCTGACAGGCGAGCCTTGGCGGCGGGGAAAAAGAGATGGACGATCAGATTGCACGAGACGATTGTGCGAGGGTCCGCGATTACTCGCTGATTGGATGTCGCTGACAGCGCATTGTCCACATCACGACGGCAGCAAATGACAGAAAGAGGAGTAGAAAGTGCGTTTGCTGACCGTGTAAGAAATGATCTGCAAAAAGCCACCCAAAGGTCAGGGAAAAGGACAGTCGGTCAGCCACGTGGGCGCCGCGACGAACAAGAGAGGCTCGAGAGACGAATGCCCAGAAACGTGTCAACGAGCTCCGCTTCGCAATCCGCAGCATGCATTCGCAGGGCCAGCTGACCAAGTTGAAATTCCGTGCCCGAGGGCGGTGTAGCCGTGAGCGAAGAAGAGATGTTCCCAAGGTTTCCCAAACATCGCGAACGGAAGAGGAAGGAAATTGAAGCTCTATCAAGGCTAGGGGAGTCTAGAACCATTGAGCAACCAGCAACCAGAGAAGGCACCAGCGACGCTCGGCAACAGCCGCTATATCAGCAGCCGTGCTGTTAGCTTGTCTCCACTTTTCTCCTCTTTTTGTTGACGCAAGAACCCAGTTTCTGGCTGCGTCACGCTCACCTGAGCCCCATACCCGCCTCCTGAACTCCGTTTTCTCGTCCTGATAAAAAGCAGCTTCTTACCCTGCCTACGTCGAAATTATTCGGATCGCGGCAGTCGTAAAAATCCGTTCAATTTTAACAATCGCCTTACGCCTATAATGGCAAGTCTGATCAATCATGTGACCCAAGGAACCTGCTGTTTCACAGGAGCCACGGTGCTAGAAAGCTCTCGTAAGACTACTGATTCTAGCACTGCAGGAAGCAACCAACTGTTGCCACCAAATTCCCGGCGTGCCACTGTTCCGATCTCGAAGCTGCCGCGCTGCGAATCCAAGGGTCTTGTTTCGCCAGTCCCTCTCTCACGCTCTCGCCAGTGCCAGTTACGCCATTCGTCATTCTTCGCTGGAGAAACGAACGATCGCTTCAAGCTTTTGACCGATTGTTCGGCATGTCTGGACGAGGGTTTAGAGAAAGCGCAAGCAACGAGAAAGGCTAATGCTGTTCCGTGCAGAGTAAGGTCCCAAGCGGCGATTAATCCCCATGAAGACTTTAGGGGACGCCAGCAGGATGGGCTGTCGGTGGTTTGGAGGGAAACTAGGTGAGTCGCCTGATATCCTTCCGTACTGCTATCAGTGATTATTCTGATTCTAGGCTATCTTATCCTGACTACTGTAGTTGGACGACACAGTTTAAGTTACTTAAAACAGGTTACGGAGTTCTGTGTAAATTAGTGTTTGCAGCACTTCGTGTACACATCAGATTAGGTTTGAAACCCCCTTTTGATTTAAATTCCTTTTAATTTTTATCCACACAGACGGTCGCTGAGAAAGATTTCGCCCAAGGGCGTCGCAGGGGAGCTCATCAAGCTCGCCATCCCTGCTGTCATCGCCGGATTGGCGGAGCCTGTCGCGCAGCTCACGGAGACCGCATTCATTGCACGAACCGGTAAATGTCACCACTTACACATTATTTGAGAACGACTTGTTATTGCTAAAACCATTTGTTTTCCTTATTTCTGTTTGTAAAATGCATTGCGACTTTCGTGTGTCTGCAGGAGCCGTGAGCCTCGCGGCCATTGGCGTGTCTATCTCTGTGTTCAACCTCGTCTCAAAGGTCTTCAACTTCCCCCTTCTCAACATTACCACCTCCTTCGTCGCTGAGGATGGCGAAGCCAGAGCGAAATCAGGTAACCCTCGAGCTGATTCACGAAACAATCAGTTTCTATGACTGATTTGTTGATCCGTATGCGTTCTCAGCTTGAATCAATGCGCCGCCAGGCAACAAGAAGAATTTCTCGTCTCATTCCTTCTTTCATTCCTGCCCTGTTGCTCGCTACTTTTGTGCCGTCTCAATAACAAATCTTCTCATATCCTGCCCCTTCTACTGCTGTCTTCGCTCCCCACAAGCAGCAGCAACATCAGCGTCAGCATCAGCAGGAGTGGTGGGTGAGAAGCGAGTGGTGCCAGCGGTGTCAGCGGCGCTGCTGGTGGGCGCCATCCTTGGGATTGTCGAGGCTGTGGTGCTCGCCTCTGCTGCTGCGCCCATTCTCGGTGCCATGGGCGTCTCTGCGGTGCGTGCATCTTGTGTGTTAATTGTCATTGATGTTCTGGGTCCTGGAAGGCTGGGAGTACCTGCGGTTTCAGCTCAGCGGCGCTGCTGGTGGGGGGCATTCTTGGGATTGTCGAGGCTGTGGTGCTCGCCTCTGCTGCTGCGCCAATCCTCGGAGCTATGGCGTCCTTGCGGTGCTGCCTTGACCTACTCCTCAGGGCGCTGGGTCCGCGTGCTCTGTGTATTCTCCTAATCCACTCGTCTCCTTGTTCCTCTTGAGTCGACTCAATAGTCAGCTTTTTCCTCTCCTTGTGCATTCCTTCCGCGGCTGTGTTGTGTGCATCAGACCTCGCCCATGCGCGCGCCAGCGCTGCACTACCTCTCCCTCAGGGCACTGGGTGCACCTGCTGCATGTCCTCATCTCCCTCTTACTCCCGTTTTGAATGCTTTCCTTGGCTCGCCTGTGAACCGCAGACATCGCCCATGCGCGGCCCAGCGCTGCACTACCTCTCCCTCAGGGCACTGGGTGTGCCTGCTGTGCGTCCTCTCCTCATAACCTCATTCCCTTGTCCCTCCCCTCTTCATTCCCTTCTCGGTCCGCCTGTGTGCATCAGACCTCGCCCATGCGCGGGCCAGCGCGGCACCACCTCTCCCTCAGGGCGCTGGGCGCGCCTGCTGTGTGCCTTCTCCTCATCCCCTCATTTCCCTTCCTTCCCCTCCCCCTGTGCATGCCTTCATCGGCTGTGTGCATCAGACATCGCCCATGCGCGGCCCAGCGCTGCACTACCTCTCTCTCAGGGCGCTGGGCGCGCCTGCTGTGGTGCTGGCTCTGGCCACTCAAGGAGTGTTCCGGGGCTTTAAGGACACTCGCACTCCGCTCATCGCTCAAGGTACATGCGGTTTTTGTTTTTTGTTGTTTAATTCTAGGCGGCCCTTTAGTCGCCCCTCTCATTTTCCTCCCTCCTCTTCGTGCCAGTGGGAGGCAACGTGGTAAACATCGCCCTGGACCCCGTTCTCATGTTCGCATGCGGGCTGGGCGTCAGTGGGGCAGCGTCTGCCTTCTGGACCCTCAAAGCATCATCCTCCCCTGCTCTCTCTCCCCTGCTCTCTCTCCCCTGCTCTCTCTTCCCTGCCCCATCAGTGGGAGGCAACATCGTCAACATTGCCCTAGACCCTGTCCTCATGTTTGCATGCGGGATGGGAGTCAGCGGGGCAGCCTTCGCCACAGTGACAGCGCAGTACAGCATTGCAGCCTTCATGCTGTGGCAGCTGAGTCAACGCGTGGTGCTCATGCCTCCCCGCTTGTCCGACCTCAAGCTCGACCGCTTTCTCAAGTCAGGTGGGTGAGCGTGCGGGCCTCTTGACGTGATTTAATCTGAGAGCTGTTTTAGGAAAGCCTGCAGCGTTCGCCACAGTGACAGTGCAGTACAGCATCGCAGCCTTATGCTGTGGCAGCTCAGCCAGCGCGTGGTTCTCATGCCTCCCCGCCTCTCTTACCTCAAGCTTGACCGCTTCCTCAAACCTGGTGGGTTTTAGCTGATCTGACTTGATCAGGTAGCTGTTATGCAAACGCCTCAACAGCTCTCCCCTGTTGGATATTCTCTTGGGTTGCATGCTCGCCCTGCTCTGACCCTCGCCACCTCCATGAAAGCTACTGACTTAACCCCGCTCCACCGTTCCTGACTCCTTTCGACTTCAGGTGGCCTCCTACTGGGTCGCACGCTCGCTCTGCTCTGCACCATGACCCTCGCCACCTCCATGGCAGCGCGGCAGGGCCACACTAGCATGGCGGCAAACAAAGTATGGCAGCAACTTCACCCCTCTCCACCGCTCTTTACTCCTCCCTTCTCCAGGCGGACTCCTCCTGGGTCGCACGCTCGCTCTGCTCTGCACCATGACTCTCGCCACCTTCATGGCAGCACCTCACTTCACCCCTCTCTACCACTCTTGATTACTCCCTCCTTTAGGCGGACTCCTCCTGGGTCGCACGCTCGCTCTGCTCTGCACCATGACCCTCGCCACCTCCATGGCAGCGCGGCAGGGCCACACGAGCATGGCAGCGCATCAAATCGCTATGCAGATCTGGCTTGCTGTTTCTCTCATGTCCGATTCGGTGGCGCTTGGTGCTCAGGTGAGGGAGAGGGGACAAGGGAGGGGAGAACAAGGGAGAAGGAAAGGGGGGCAGGGCCACACACACGAGCATGGCGGCACATCAGATCGCCATGCAGATCTGGCTGGCCGTTTCCCTCATGTCCGACTCCGTGGCTCTTGGCGCCCAGGTGAGGCCAGTATGGAGTGGGTGGGTGGTGGGTGTGAGTAAGGTTACGAGGGGGGGAGAAGGCGGGCAGGGCCACACACACGAGCTTGGCAGCGCATCAGATTGCCATGCAGATTTGGCTGGCCGTTTCTCTCATGTCCGACTCCGTTGCTCTTGGCGCTCAGGTGAGGGAGAGGGAGAGGGAGAGGGAGCAGGAAGGGGGGACATGGAGAGGAAAGCATGGGGTGGGGGGGGATGGGGGGGAGGAGAGGGGGGGGAGGGCCACACGAGCATGGCAGCGCATCAGATCGCCATGCAGATTTGGCTCGCTGTGTCCCTCATGTCTGACTCTGTTGATCTTGGCGCCCAGGTGAGGGAGAGGTGGAATGCAATGGAGGGGTCAACAAGGGAGAAGAGACAGGGGGGGAAAGGTGGGGCAGGGTGGGGAGGAAGTGGGGCAGGGCGGGGTGAGGGGGAAGGGGGAAGGGGTGGGGCAGGGCCACACGAGCATGGCAGAACACCAGATCGTCATGCAGATATGGCTTGCAGTGTCCCTCGTGTCCGACTCCATGGCTGTTGTTGAAAGAAGTCCATTCATCACTCCATTCTCCCCAACATCCACCCTCTCCCACCAGACCATGCTGGCGTCGGCCTTTGCACGCCACGATGCACGGAGGGTGAGGAGGATCGCCATGCGAGCCACACAGATGGCTCTGCTCATGGGGGTCACCACCGCCGCCCTGCCTGCTCACCCTCTCTCCCTCCTTGCCTCCCTTCGGCTCTCCCCCACCTTCAAACCTCTCTCTCCTTGCCTTGTTTTGCCCATTCAACATTCTCTGTCCTGGCTTTTCTCCCCCCTTCCTTCTCCCCCACCCCGCCCCTCCCACCAGACCATGCTGGCATCAGCTTTCGCGCGCCACGATGCACGGAGGGTGAGGAGGATCACCATGCGCGCCACACAGATGGCTCTGCTCATGGGCCTCACCACCGCCGCCCTGCCTGCTCACCCTCTTCCTCCTTGCCTCCCTTGCTCTCCTCTCCACATTCAACCCTAAACCCGAAACCCGGAACCCTCATCCCCTGCTTCAACCTTCTCTGTCCTGGCATTTTCTTGCCCTCCTCCCCAAATCCACTCCTCCACTGCCCGCCAGACCATGCTGGCATCAGCTTTCGCGCGGCACGATGCGCGGAGGGTGAGGAGGATCGCCTTGCGCGCCACACAGATGGCTCTGCTCATGGGGGTCACCACCGCCGCCCTGCTCACCCTCGCCACGCCCTACATCCCGCGCGCCTTCACATCCGACCACACCGTTCAGAAGGCTCTCACGTCTCTCATGCCGGTAAGTTCCCCCTTCCCGGTCACACACATAGCGCTGCACAGATGGCTCTGCTCATGGGGCTCACCACCGCCGCCCTGCTCACCCTCGCCACGCCCTACATCCCGCGCGCATTCACTTCTGACCACACGGTTCAAAAGGCACTCACGTCTCTTATGCCGGTAAGTCAGTGCCGTCTTGCCTCCCACGTTTTCCCTCATGGGCCTCACCACCACCGCCGCCCTGCTCACCCGCACCACGCCCTGCATCCCGCGCGCATTCACTTCCGACCACACGGTTCAGAAGGCCCAGACTTCCCTCATGCTGGTATGTAATGATTTGCATCCTTACCGCTCCCTTGCTTCCACCCACCTACTTCAACTCTCCTGATTCCACTCTCCTACTTCCACACTCCTAATTCCAATGCCTCCCTCAATCTTCCTTTGCGAAACCCCACAGTTCGTGGCAGCCACACAGCCCATCACGTCACTTGCCTTTGTCTTCGACGGGTTACACTACGGCGCCTCTGACTTTGCCTATGCCGCCACTGCCATGGTCAGTAAAAACTCCTCTTACTCTCTTAATCCCTTGCTCTATTACTCCCGTACTCTCTTACTCTCTTACTTCCTTTCTGGGCCCCTCAGAAGTTGTTTTTGACGGGGTTCAATATGCTGTTTCCGACTTGTCCTTCCTCGTTCTTCACCTCCTCCCCTTGTCATGCTGTCATTTTGTCTCCATAACTCGCAGTGTTTCATCTTCCCTGCAATCCTCCCCATTGCCAGATCACAGTGATGCCCCCCATAGCTGGAGTACTGGCCTATGCCCCAAAGGTCATGGGCATCCATGGCGTGTGGGTCGGCCTCACTCTCATCATGACTGCACGCATGCTCATCGGCTTGGGAAGGTAATTCAACCATTTCTGAAGTTCTTGCTACTGTTATCTCCCAAGCTGTATTTGCTAGTGAGCTGTTTAGTCTTTGTTCTGTTTTCTTTTGTTTCTTTTCCTTTCCTGGTTTTGGTTTAGCGCTTGTTCTCATCAAAGGCATCCCTGCAAATCATACGTGCCCTTTATTGTCACGCCTGTTACAGGGTGTGCACAGCCAGCGGTCCTTGGCGCATACTCAAAGAGGCTCCTGACTCACATGCCTCATAAGCCAGCAGCAGCAACTATCAATTCACCACAAGTCATATTGAAACCTGAGCCTTTCACGTTTCTTAAGAAAGCAGCCTTCAATAAGCTGGAATAAGGTGGGGGAATCCACTACGTAAGGAGTTTCACGTTTCCAGGGCCTATATGTGCACGAATTTCGTCCGGTATAAGATGGTGGTGTACATATGTGAACTACATAAATTTTCTCAACCTTTTTGAAGATGGCCGAGATGTGAAGAACGAAATTGTGTACGCCTTAGTTGTTTAGGGCGCTTCACCTCTCGGTTCGAACATCACACTCGTTCGAACAGGCAAAACGTTACTTGTTTCGACACTGTTCGTATGGGTGTTCGTGACGTCGCCAATCCCAATTTTCGCCAATCCGAACAGAGCTATCACATGAAGCAGGAAGCTTTTCATTCCGCACATTCGAACAGGCTTGTCCGAACAAGTTGGGATTGGTGACACACAATTCCACACAAACAACTGATTTGATTAGCCAAATGTTTACGACAATATTTTGCGACGTCGCTCGTTCGTGGGCGACATCGCTGTGTTCGAACAGACCGCGTGTGCGAATAGCGATGGCGTAACCTGCAATGCACGGTTGTCACATTCGCACATTGCGCGAATTTGTGTTCGACACCAATTGGGAGGCTGTTCGTTAGCAAAATTGATATGCCTGTTCGGATTTGGGCCTTCTGGCCCCGAGGTGAAGCGCCCTTAGATTGCACTAGTTAAAATGTTACATCTGTGACATTTTGGCTTCTAAGGGTTGTTTCTGGCTCATAATGTGTTTGTGCTTGAAATGATAATGCAGTAATGGTGCACTAGTCGCCAGAGAACAAGTTCAGGTTGAGTAGCTGGAGAGTAAATGTAATATTTTTTCTTCAATGCCATAATTACCTCTCATGATCAACGATCACATCCGTTAGCCATATCTTAGCCTCCTCTATCTAAAACATGGTAGAGTGTAAGGCGAAGGGTGGCAACACCTGTATCGGGACAACAGTGCATCATTGACCTCGAAAGTGGCCTGAAATGCAAGCTGCAAATCAAACTGCCGTCACGCGACTCGTCATCCAAATCATGAATGCTTTCTGAGGCTTCTGATTGCCCGTACTCCTTCCAACCCATTCGAAATGTTCCTAGTTCTTCCCGACCCCTGTCAACTGGTCTGTACACCAAGCTTTTTTCCGATGGATTTCCCGCGCAACACTTTCCCAACTCTTCAGTATTCGTGTTACCCCTTCTCACACGGGGGAACACCAGCTGTAAGTATTGTTACTTTCAAGTATTTGTAACAAATATAGTTGAAAGCTCATCTCTGAGGGCGCGTAACCATTTTGCACCCGACGGTTCGAACCGTGGACCGTCCGGGTGGCGAAAAGGTAACAGAATTCGTATTACGTCGTAAGTTTGTTCGTTAAGGTGTTGGCGACATCGCCAACAAAGCGGACTGTCGTGACACTTTTTCCTATTTTCATCGGTCCGAGATCTGAACCGTGGACAGTCCGAATCTCAAACGGACTGTCCGAAGTCCTTGCACACGATTGGCGCACGATGTAAAAATTGTCGAGTCACCTCGTCCACCAACAAAATCATGCGATGCTGCTTCACGAATTAACATTGACCAACCATAGACAACCTAAAACAAAAATGTTTCGATGACGATATCGACGAACTTGAACGAATTTCGTAACGCTTGTACAGTGATCGCGAAACTGTACATTAGGAAAAAAGTGTCACAACTGTCTTCGGACAGTCCGAAGTTGCAAAAAACTCAATCGGACGGTCCCGTTCTCGATAAGTGGACTGTCCGCTTCGGTTTAAGCGGACGGTCCGTCAAAATTGAAAAATGCAAAATGGTTACGCGCCCTAAGTGTCAGGCTTGTATGATAGATGTGTGGTGAGGTATTTGCGCGGCTTCGCGGATTTTCCAGGGGTTGTTTTCTGCCTATCTGACCTCGACTACAGTTCTCAGGCTTGGCCATTGGACAACCTCCCTACAGTCTGGTGGCTAGTCTCGCTCGCCGCGCCTCGCCCCTCGATCCCCGCGCCCCATTTTCCTCCCCACCGGAACCTTTACGCGTGCGCTCGTGCGCCCTTGTTTCCCCCTGCGGAGTTCCCCCTTTCTTCAACCTCCATGCACCCACCAGCTGAATCAAGCCCCCTCCCCCACTCCCTTCCCCCTTGCGCTGTTTCCCCCAAAATCGCAAATGCCACTGGCGCTGGTAACCAGTTCCATTCCATTCCGCCCTTATTCATCCGCTGCCGTTGCCCGCGCCAGGATTCGGAAAATTCTCCCCGCAACCAGATTCTATCGCGGAGGTTGAATTTTCCAGTCCAGCCACTCCTTTGTCGACCTTCGCTGCCTAACAACTAGGCTGGATCCTGCCGCGCTACTAGGCAAGTCCTCGGCTGACGTGGCAGCCGTCATCAATGACGTGGCATCACGATAAGATGCGACGTCACAGCATTAGGCTCGTATTCTCGACGCTCCTGCTGGTAGCGTCGTCTTGCGCGCAGACAGCGGGCGGAGCAGGCGGAAGCAATGGCGGAAGAATCAGCGGAAGCAGACGGGGAATGGCGCAGCTTTTGGCTGCCGGGGAAGCGCCTTCCCGCCGCCCCATGCGGTTCTGTCCCTTAATGGCGGCTCCCACGGGCCAGAACGTGCGACGCGGCGTTTCTTTGCCCACGAACTATTATATAACAACGCCGCAATCAACGGATGTCTCCGATTCCGGCACTATCGCATCCTCCACTTCGAACCGCACAATCGGTAGCGTGAGCAGCGGAAGCGCGAGCGGTGACAGTCGGAACAGCGCGGCCGCCGCCGGCGCTGCCGGAAATTCTCAGATAAAGCCGTTCGCGGGCCCGATAGGGATTAGTCCGGGGTGGAACAGCCTTCAGTGTCGGAATAGTCCGTACTGCGGGGTAATGAACGCGCCGATTAACGTGTACATAATTTGATACGGCAAGTTCACGGCTACGCAAAAGGAGCTCGTGCGCGCCTTCACGCGGTCGCTTAACCCCAACTCGGATACCTCTATAACGGGTACGCGGCTTTCTCGAACTGCAAGTTTCAACTGACATTTGCGTTTCTCTATCGTATCCTGCGCCTCCCCCCAACCAGCCTCTTCCGCCACCCCCGTTCCCGCACCCCCCTTCCCTCACTCCCGTTCCCCAATCCCGCTTGCCCCCGGTCCCCCTTTTGCCTACCCCTGTTCTTCCGCGCCTCTGTCCCTCATTCTCCCCCACCTTCCGCCTCCACAGCGACCCACCCCCTCCCCCATCCTGGCGGAACATTTACCGCGCGTCTGCCGACGCCTTCCCCAGCCTAACCGCCTTCTTCCCCCTTCCCCCTCCCTTCCCCTTTGCCTGCCCCGCCACCGTTCCTCCCCCCATCCCCACCCCCCTCCTCCTCTCTCCCTTACCCCACACAGTACCCCTATGGTGGAACATTAATCAGCTGTACTACGACCGTAACGGGCGTTTCATTTCCAGCTCCGTTACAATTGCAGATGAAACGTCTGACACAGCCTATTCCCGCGGCTCGAGTCTGTCCGACTCCGAGATCGACTCGCTCGTCTCATCCGCCATAACCAGCCAAAAGCTGTCGTACGATCAAAACGGCGTGTACTTCGTTCTGTCAGATGAAACGGTCAGCCAGGTGAGATGACTTCCTGATATAACAACCTGAAATGACGTTCTGGACCCTGAATGAGGCATGTAACGAACAGCTATCTATGCTTCCCAGCAAGAATATATGCTTTCGGTCCAGAGGGCCTAGAAAAATGGCCTATTGCTTGATTTTACTCAAGCCTCCCCTCTCCCTCCGCCTTGCCCTCCCCTTTCTCCCCCCCATCCCCCGTATCCCAGTCCTCTCAAGGATCCGCGTTCTGCACGCACTACTGCGGGTGGCACACCTACACAGACGTATCTGGCAAGGGCCGCGTGGTCAGCGGCTGGGTGGGCAACGCCAAGTCCCTGGTAAGCGTTTGCTGCAGATGTGGATGGGCTGCTGTCTGTGTCTTGCTCTTATACCACCCCCCCGCACCCCACCCTTCCCTCCCCCCTGCTCCCCTTTTCCAAATCTGCCCTGCCACCGTTCTCCCATCCACAGTGCCCTAGGAGCTGCATCGCGGGTCTCATCGCATCCTCGCTCTCCTCGCCCAACCGGGACAAGGGCATGGATGGGCTGCTGTCCGTGTATGCACACACACACTCACCCACCCCGTTCCCCCCTACCATCCTTCCCCGACCCCAACCTCCCTTCCCCCTTGTCCCCGCTTCCAACTCCCCTCTGTGAATGACCCACACGCAGTGCCCTAGGAGCTGCATCGCGGGCCTTATTTCCTCTTCGTCCTCCTCGCCCAACCGAGACAAGGGCATGGATGGGCTGCTGTCCGTGTATGCACACGAGCTGGCAGAGGCCACTAGTAGCCCGTACCTGCAGACGTGGATGGATGATAAAGGGGACGAGAACGCAGATAAATGCGGATGGAAGTGAGTATTTTTTACTCTTTCTCCCAAATTTCCCTTCTTTGCTTTTAGTTTCAATCAACCTTTTTGCTTTGATCTTCCTATTTTCCTACTCTCCGCGTCGTTTCAGACGCATCTCTTTCTTTCATCCGTTTACTTCGTTTTATCCACATGCCCCATTCCAATAACCCCTCACTGCCAACATTGTGTGCCTTCCTTTCACCCTCCCACACTAGATTTGGCACCGTAAACCATGATTCCGCAAACGCTCCGTACAACCTAGTAGGTGTCGACGGTCACAAGTTTCTGATTCAACAAAACTGGGACTTGACCAAAGGCAGATGTGCAACCACTGTGCCTTACCCAGGCTCCTCCAGCTCATCACCACCATTGAAAAAATCACCACCACCATCAGGCTACTCGTCACCTCCGCCACCGCCACCGTCGCCGCCACCTGGTTCAACTCTTGTTGAACTTCTGCAACTTCTCTGGAAGCTGTTTTTTGGCTCCAATAAACAGAGACAGAAAGCATCATCATCATCACCACCACCACCGCCACCTTAAAACTAAAATGTTTTTTTTTTCTATATCCCTCTTGTAGTTTTTATCAGTGTACATCGTCAACTAGGTTGGTGCAAAATAATAACTTCTCCGAAGCGCGACTTCATCCCATTTGTCGGTGTCTTTGAACGGGAAACACCGTCGAAATTGAAATATTGTGAGCTGCAAAATGTCCAGGGGCATGTTTGTCTGGAACCCAGAACCGAAAGTTTTTTTTCACGACTGTAAAAGTAATCCTTTGCGACCATTCGTGCGCTTGGTGCGTGGCAGAAGGAAATGCCCAACGAAAAATGTTCATACCAATGTCGAGGAAAGGTACACCTGGAAAACCGCCTGCGCATTCGCCTGATGACTTTCTCGTGGTTGTGGCGGCCACGATACTTCGCCTGAGGGCGGGTTTCCTGGTCTAGCAACCATACATGACCACTGCCAGTAGTACTTTTGCACAACAAATGATCGCTGTTTGCTTTGCTCACCTCATGCCTCCTAGTCTGGTAAAAATTTCGACGGCTTGTTGCGATGTGTGGGCCCGTCCGCTAAATAGCTTCTTCTACACCAGGAACAGAGCACGAGGCAAAACGGCGAAGGAAATTGTTTTTACGAGCAGGAAAATGCCGCCTCGTTGTCGCCGCATCCGGCGTTTCCGTACGAGCCTCAACGGCAACTCCAAAGGCGCGCTTCCGCTGTTTCTGGGGCTCCTAATCGCGTTCCTTCAGCTTAACGCCATTTCCGTCGTCGAATCATCACCGCGAACGCCCGTTACGGTAGGGATCCTCGGCGTAGCCCGCCGTTCGCGGCCTTTCCATTGCGAGACGACTTTCGAGCCTGCTCAAAATTCGGCTGGATTTGTGCCGAATCATCACCGCGAGCGGTCGTTACGGTAGAGATCTCATTTAAGAATTCTCAAAAGAAGCACCATTACTGCCGCCCTTTGCGGTAGGGGTCTCAGCTTAGCTCGCCGTTGGTGTACTTTCCTTTGAAAGACGCCTCGACCCGTAAACGTAAATTCCCCGTTTCCTTCCAAATTCCCCGAGCCTAGGTCGACAAATACTATTGGTGAACACTTCATCCTTACTTTCTCCTCCCCTTTCCCCTTCCCTCCCACCCCCCATCCCCCGCGCCTCCCCCGCGACCCGCCTCGCTACTCCGCGTGTTATCAGCGCATTCCCCCGATCAGATACGCCTTCACCAGAAGAGCCGGCCTCTTACAGGCAGATGGAACCTCCACCAGCAGAAGCATCGATTCAAGCCAACGGAGGGGCCTTCACGAGGCTCCCACAACCGTCCGTCCCTCTGGAATTGCGCGCGTGTATAATCCAAGGTTGCGTACTGCTCTGTAACATACCTAATGTATTTTTCCTATAGTGTTTTCCGCTATTGACATCGTGTGTCCGTACTGGTACTTTTATCAGGCGACAATTCCATGATGCGCAGGTTTCTTCTTCCTTTATCTTTTCCTTGCACTCCTTGTGTGATATACCGAGTATATTCTTAAGCGAATTAAAGCCCCGGCCCTCCTTGTCCGTCTGCTCCTGGACTATCTGGTACCCACTGCAGCCATGAGCCAGCTACTGGCGCAGCATCAGCAGCATCAGCAGCAGCACAATCATTATCAGACTCAACAACAGCAGAATCCGCATCAGCAGCATCAGCAGCATCAGCAGGAGCAGAAGCGACATCATCTAGTAGCAGTAGCGGCACCAACCTCCCATTCACGCCACAGGGAATCGGTTACCACTGGGATGACCTCGATCCCGATCAGATGGCCTTCTGTGGCGCCTCGCCCGCGCATTGCGGCGTAATGCACGCGCCTGTGGGGGTGTACCTGCTGTGGTATGGAGCTAAGTTCAGCGAGGAGCAGAAGGATATCGTGCGGCTCTTCATTGCTTCTCTCACTGCAGACGCTTCCAACCCAGACGCCACGGGTGGGTGGGTGGGTGGGCCGGAGAGTTTTGAGTGTCTCAATATGGATGGAAGTACGCACTTGCGCCTATGTGAACGTACCTGTGGGGGTGTACATGTGGGGGTGTACCTGTGGGGGTGTACCTGTGGGGGTGTACCTGTGGGGGTGTACCTGCTGTGGTAGGGTGCCAAGTTCAGCGAGGAACAGAAGGGCATCGTGCGGTTGTTTGTCGCTTCTATCAATGCAGGCGCCTCCGGTCCGGACGCCACAGGTGGGTGGGTGGTTGGGTTGGCAAGGGTGTTGAGTGCCTCAATAGGAAAGGGATGGATACACGCGCCTGCGCCTGTGGGGATGTGCCTGCATGGTACCAAGTTCAGTGAGAAACAGAAGGGCGTGGTCAGTTGCTTCTTGCTTCTCTCGCTCCCCTTGACCCACACGACCCCCACCACTTCGACAACCCGTCACTACGGTGCCGGCATGATGAGCCCTCAGCGCAGTCTGCTTGGACTTTGACCAGCAGGGCCGAAACATCTCCTCCAATGTGACTATAAACAACCCCTCACAACCCTCACAATCCCTCTCAACTCCTCTCAACCCCTTTCTACAGTGCCAGCATGGTGGGCCATCAACACACTTTACTTCGACCAGCAGGGCCGGAAAATCTCCTCGAATGTGACTATAAAGGGCGAGACTCACAACACCAAGTACACCCGGGGCACCATGCTGCTGCGATCTGACGTGGAGGGCCTCGTCCAATCAGCTGTCGGCAAAGGATTGCTGCCGTACGACCCGGACGGCGTGTATTTTGTCCTTTCCGATGAAGACGTCTCGCAGATGGACGATCAGAGTGGGACGGGGAGTACGCAGTATGCGCTCGCGGTCTGCTCGCACTACTGCGGATGGCACTCCTTCACCCAAGGAGAAGACGGGCGACCGCTCATCATGTCATTTGTGGGGTACGCAGTATGCGCTCGCGGTCTGCTCGCACTACTGCGGATGGCACTCCTTCACCCAAGGAGAAGACGGGCGACCGCTCATCATGTCATTTGTGGGGTACGCAGTATGCGCTCGCGGTCTGCTCGCACTACTGCGGATGGCACTCCTTCACCCAAGGAGAAGACGGGCGACCGCTCATCATGTCATTTGTGGGGTACGCAGTATGCGCTCGCGGTCTGCTCGCACTACTGCGGATGGCACTCCTTCACCCAAGGAGAAGACGGGCGACCGCTCATCATGTCATTTGTGGGGTACGCAGTATGCGCTCGCGGTCTGCTCGCACTACTGCGGATGGCACTCCTTCACCCAAGGAGAAGACGGGCGACCGCTCATCATGTCATTTGTGGGGAACGCAGTCAATCAGGTAAGAACTCTTTCCACGGGACCTGGGGCAACACACGCGTGGCAATGGCGTTCTGCTTGTCTGTTGACCAATTCGTGTGACCTTACACATTGCCGCAACACCAATCACCACCCGTCCATGAATACCGGATAGCGCCCTAACAGTATTCCCTCCTTTCATCATCCAACCTCTAACCAAACCTGCATATCATTGCACCTCATGACCTCCTTCCAACCATCCCCTTTTTTTCGAGTCGTTTGTCTTGAGGCGCCCAAACAGTACTTCCTCCCTCTCATCATCCAACCTCCAACCACACGTGCATATATCATTGCACCTCATGGCCTCCTTTCAACCATCCATCCCCATGCAGCCGTGCCTCCACCAACCAGCCAGGGGCAACGGCGCCAAACCATTCCGTAGTATTTTAAAGCTACTACCCTCTGAAACCCTCTGAAACCCTCTGAAACCATCCCCTCGCAGTGCCTGGAGGGCTGCAGCCAGCCGCACCTGCACCAGCCCGGAGCACCGGCACCGAACAACTGCGTCCCATTGTATCTCAAAACCTCTGCATCCCACTGAACCCCCCCTCCAAACCATCCCCACGCAGTGCCCGGAGGGCTGCATTCCGCCGTACCTGAACCAGCCGGGGGAGGTGGCGCCGAACGGCGATGCGGGGATGGACGGGATGGTGTCGGTGTTGGCACATGAACTCGCAGAGGCCACCAGCAGCCCCTTCCTCGCCACGTGGTTCGACGACCAGGGCGAGGAGAACGCCGACATCTGCTCCTCCAGGTATGGATGTGTCGGTTCGTTTGTCATATGCTTATAAAAACAGGTGAGAAAGTTGATATATCTGCTCGCAGGTCAATATGCTTCTCTTCGGATGCCCGATACTGGAGATTTGCACGTGAAGTTTTGTATGTTGGCATGTATGGTTAGCTGAAGGTTTCTCATGCAAAAAACGAGTTCTCTCGTCTCCTGCACGACCTATTTGTTTGTCCCTTTTTGCAGTTATGGTGATGTGATATCAGATGCAGCAACTGGTGTTCAATAAAACTTGGTGGGTCAAAACGGTGCACGATTTCTAGTGTAATTTCACCCGTTATCAACGACTCCCTGGGAGTGAATGATCCCACCATTGTGGAAACGCCTCCAAGCGTGGATGTGCCAGTTGATGAGCCACCTCCACCTCCACCATCCTTCCTCGACAAATTAATATAATTTCTTACAAACTTTTTTGGCTTTTGAATGTTTAGCTTGTTTTAACTTCAATAAAGTGCGATTACACTGTCTGTAGTACATCCGTTCCTCCGAACCATTCCGAACCTCTCTGCCCGTTCCCACGAAGTAACCGACCTAAATTTTCCCTAGGGGGTACAGTTCCAAGTCCAGCTAGTCAAAGCACGGCCGAATCTTCCTCATCACCACCATCGCCGCCAAGGAAAACGACAAACTGTGGCAGCCAAGGACAACAATGTGGAGTTTCCTGCTTCGAAAATATCCGGATCGCGCATTCAGAAAAGTGACACACATCCGAGTTGCCGACACACCGAAATGGATTTCGCGTGAGATCGTCAGCACGATCAGTAACCAGGACGTGGTGCGGATCACCGAACAGCTGCACCTTCGCAAAACTTTCGCTCGTCGCCGTCGCCCACCCTCAGTCATATGAATTTGCATCCATCCCTCCTTTCCAACACCCACAAACAACCAGCATCGCTTTTCTTCGATATTGCATCCTCGTCCTCCCTCACACGGCAAAAGAATTCAGCACAGATATATTCTTCGAGGAGGCTTAGCGCTGCCGAATCCCAGTCAATACACCCGCACAAACTTCTCATCTATCTGAAGTTCTGAAACGCCCCTGAGATTTTTGTAGCTAGGAGTAAAAGCTCGTTGGATCGCCACTATGGCTCGTTCCCGACTTGGCTCAATGTCAGGCCTCTTACCAGTTTTTCTCCTCTCGCTTTGGGCCGCCTTCCTTGGCGTATCGTCTGCAAGCGCCCTGTTTCCATCGATCCCGGAAAGCGTCACCCTCAATGTAGGTTTCGGCTGTGGAATTCTCCCGTGTAGGGCATTTATAAGAGTTGTGGAAGATTAGAGTCGTAGCTTTCTGGAATTGAATTTTCTGAAATCACAAAACGTGGCACATTCATCGGATAACCTTTTCGGGGGTCAAATTTCATGGTCATACGGACTAGATGCGGCATGCTCTCTACTAAATATCTTCCTGCGCTTCCCGATCTTCTCTCTCTCCAGAAATGGAGCGCGACTCGTCGGATATCTCGGATCTCCTATACGCCCATTCGCGGCTCTCGCATCAGCAGGCGCAGTCTCACGGAAGTCGCGTCTTCGGGCGGAATCAGAAGCAGCGGGGAGAGGATGCGGCAAACGAAGCTTCCGCATGGAGTCAGAGCTCTCATCGACACCAGGTAAGCTAAACGCATTTCTAAAGAGCCCAGCTCATTTTAATGAAAATATTCCGCATTTATGGAGACGACTTTTGAGATGACACCTCATTTTTGGATTAGCGCTCTGGCGCAAGAGTTGGGGGACGGATATACGTCATTTTTATCCTTATCCCATTTTTCTTTCCGCTCTTTACAGCGCCCAGGCCGCTGGTGCATCCGCTTCGAATTCGGCACCCAAGAACATTGGCTACCACTGGGATGATCCTAGCGCCGCCTACATGTGCTCTGCAGACGCCAAGTACTGCGGGGTCATGCACGAGCCCATCTCAGTGTACCTCATATGGTACGGCCAGTTCGCGGAGGCGCAGAAGCAGATCATGCGCACGTTTATCGAATCGCTCAATAACAGCAACGACGCCTCCCTGACAGGTACGCTCTCCATAGCCCCGAGATATCCACCCTCTTTCCCTGTCGTCATATTCGTGGCATCATCACCCTACATTTCCTTCCTCGCGGCATCGCGCCATGAGTTTCCTTTTCTCGCTACCCTTCCCTTTCCTGCTTCCTCAAACCCCGTCAAAATTCTTATATTTCTCCCCAACGTTCACGCCTTACCTCACGACAGTTCCTAAGTGGTGGAACATCAACCGGCTCTACTACGACGCCCAAGGGAACTACATTTCCGGATCCGTTACCCTGAAGGGCGAAATCGACGACACTCTTTACTCCAAAGGCACCACTCTGTACAACTCTGGAGTCGCCGACCTTGTTTCTGCCGCTGTGAATGACGGGAAACTGCCCTACGACAGCAACGGAGTGTATTTTGTCCTCGGGGATTCCAAAGTGGCTCAAGAGGACGACTCAAGCTACTCCCAGGCAGGATTTTGCAGCAGCTACTGCGGCTGGCATGCGTACACCCACGACAACCTCGAGCTTGTAATCTCGTTTGTTGGTAACGCGGTAACCAGGTGCCCCGAGGGCTGCATCCCGCCGTACCTGAACCAGCCGGGGGCGGTGGCGCCGAACGGCGACGCGGGGATGGACGGGATGGTGTCGGTGTTGGCACATGAACTCGCAGAGGCCACCAGCAGCCCCTTCCTCGCCACGTGGTTCGACGACCAGGGCGAGGAGAACGCTGACATATGCGCAGGGGAGTATGGAGATGTAACCCAGGATGCAACCACAGGGGCATACTTCAACCTGGAAGGTGTCCGAGGATCTAAGTTCATTGTGCAGGCGAATCTCGACCCGGTTACTGGCAGCTGTGTGGTGCAGTCTGATGGGCCTGAGGCTCTGGGAAGCTCGAGCCAGCCTCCCTCTTCAGCTGGGCCTACTCCCAGTCCACCACCCGTGTCAGAGCCACCCGTCACCGTTCCAACACCCCCTGTCACCATTCCAACACCCCCTGTCACCGTTCCAACACCCCCGGTTACCGTCCCTACGCCTCCTGAAACCGTTCCAGAGCCACCCACAGTTGCGACACCAGAGCCACCGGTTACTGAAACCCCCTCTGGAGGGGGTACTTTTGATGCACTTGTTTCCTTCTTCAAGAGCTTGTTTGGCTTTTAAGTTTCCAGGTGTACAAAATATATGAAGGTTTTTTCTATGAAGTGCTAAACACACAGATGTGTTCGATGCTCAATGGCCACTTCTCTTATGCAAATCATAACTGGTCTATATAATTAGTACAAATGATAATGCATGTGCTGTTTGGATGCTATTTGATGCTATAGATGGATCTAGCTTGTATGAACGATAATCTAACAAGATTACTTCATGTATGTAAGGTGTTTGCCAACAGCGAATATTTCGCAAGATTCGCGGAGCTGTTGGTGATGTACTTTTACAGTTTGGTCGTGCGCTTCGAAACCCTCCACCACCAAAACAATTCACACTACGGGTGCGGGCAGGGTGCGGGCAGGGTTCAGGTGAGCGTACGTATGTTGACAGGTGCAGGCAGCCTTTGACCTAGCCAAACCGAATGTGCGGCAGGCATGGCGCTTCCAGCAAAGGCACCGAATTTACGTGCTACATCATCCCCTTTTCAGAGTTGTTTTCACGTTTGTTCTGGACGACCCTAATAATTTACAGCCCTGTCGGAGTTTGTATCCTTCCAGCGGGGTCGAGGTTCGGTGGTTTACTAGACTTAGTTTTGAAGGAGTAGTCTGAAGAACCAACAGGATTGATTACAAATCGACTCCGGTCGACTCCGGATTTAAAACGAGGGACTCCCTTAATTTAAAAATAGCCTTCCTGCCCATGACCTCCGTCAACAAATAACAACTGAAAGACGACAAAATTCGGCTAGCAACAAATGATTAGCGATTCGACGTGACTTGCAGATGAAAGATCGGTGTGACCTACGAGACGTGGGGGAACCGCGCCTAGGGCCACCGTCCAGTCGACAAACCACGCCATTCCCATCTGACCAACAACTTTCTGACCGCCCCAAAATACATGGGATCGTTCGAGTCCCCCCTGCTGCGCCTGCCCAAGCCCGAATCAAACAATTTCGGCAGATAGTTTCAGACATGCCCCACGGCTGACAGAATTGCACACGGACAGCCCTGAAATTCGCATTCCTGCCAGCTGTTTCCACTTCCCATCTGTTTGCGCTACATTGCGACGTGCGCTCTTGCACCCTCGAATCGAATTGGTCACCCGATGTTTGAACTTCGAATTTCCACACACCAAATGGCTCTGCGCCTCACGCGTTTTAGGTTCCCTGTGCGTCACTTAGCGACCCTCCACCACCACCACCACCTTCCACCGATTGTCGAGAACCATCTCCCACCCTTCGCAAATTGCGGGCTAGGAATCAGCCCAGCAAGGCACAATCCACCAGCCATTTCCGCATTTCGAGGCAAACGTGACCAGACCCACCAAGCACCCATTCGTCCCACTTTAGTCGACGCAGCCACGTCACCGTTCTTTGTGTGGCCCCTACCGTCGCGCCTCGTGTGATCGCTCCGTCGCTCCCGATAGCTCTTTCTCTATACTAAAAGCCGATCAACCGAACTCATACACTGCTCAGCACTACGATCCTAGAGGTCGAGTCTCAGTCGAGTCTTGTTAGAGTCCAGCTTGTAGAACCTGAAAGTGTAATTCCAGTTTCCAACTCCAAAGTGCAATTCAGGCCCCATGGCATTCAGAAGTAACAACCGTCCGTCGTTCCATATACGAGCCATCGTCGCACTTCTCCTCTTCGCCACACTCTCCTCCATCGCCTGCGCGCGACAGCACAGACGACTCCTCGTAAGTCGTCGCGATTGTCGCACAGACTCGTCTCGCCTCGCACTGCGTTTTTTTATGCCTCTAGAAAGAAATACCTGGCCGTCCTCGAGCCGCCTCTCTCATAATTCCCTTCAGTTAGCAAGATGTTGAATTGGTGTCATTTTCGAGGCATAGCTGGTTCGCGCATTAGTCGTAATCGCAGCACAGCGATCAGTTGATGCAACTATGCCCTCCTACTCCCCACCCCTCCCACCCTTCCCTCCTCTCCCACTCCCCCTTTACACTCCATATGACTATCCTGTTCTCTCTCCTCCCTCCCTCCCTCCCCCCCCCCCCCCCCCCCCCCCCCCCCCCCCCCCCCCGTGACCCTGTGGCCTAACCTCTCCTCTTCCCCCGCCTCTCCCCTTATTCCGCGCGCAGAAATGGCGCAAGCGCACGGACGATGACCTGCTGATGCGCGGCGCGATGCCGGAAGGAATCGCGCAAGTCGTCGACACGAGGTGAGCGGTGCCGCGCTGTTACTACCATTCGCTGAAAAGCATTTCATCCCAGATATTAGCACCTCAGCCTCGTTTCCATCGTTTCCCACGTTCGCCTCACCCATCTCATCCATCTCACCCATCTCATCCATCTCACCCATCTCATCCATCTCACCCATCTCATCCATCTCACCCATTTCTTCCTTCTCCACCCTATCCTCTGTTTTTCCTCCTGCAGCAGCAATGATCCCGCCACTTCATCGTCCGCTGCCGTAAACACCGCGGCTACTTCCGCCTCCGCCGCTTCTTCCGCCCCCGCCCCTTCCCCCGAGGCGGTGAGCCAGATGATCGCCTCAGCGCTCCGCGCACCTTCCTCCTCCGCATCCATCTTTCCGCCCCGCGGCTCCCCCGCTTTCCACAACATCGACCCGCACTGGGATGATCCCGAGGTTTCCAAAGTGTGCAACCCCCTTACAAAGTACTGCGGCGTTATGTACAAGCCCATCTCGGTGTACCTTATATGGTACGGCAAGTTCACAGACGCGCAGAAGCAGATCATCCGCACGTTTATTGAGTCACTCAATAACAGCAACGACACCGACGTTACAGTCACCAACTGGTGGAACGTCAACCGTCTATACTACGACGCGATGGGCAACCATATCTCCGCATTTGTGACTCTAAAGGGGGAGATCGACGACGCGGATTACTCCAAGGGCCGCACTCTTCTAAGCACCGACGTGGCGAAACTCGTCTCGTCCGCGGTTACCAGCAAGCAGTTCGCGAACGACCCGAACGGCGTGTATTTCGTCATGGGAGACGAAACGGTGGCGCAAGAGGATGACACGGCTCCAGAGAAATCCGCGTTCTGCAGGAACTACTGCGGGTGGCACTTCTACACGCGCGACGCTCTTGAACTCCCCATCGCGTTCGTTGGCAATGCCGCCAAAAGGGTAAGTCTCGGTGCCAATCCAGTCAGCGCAATCGACCCACGCAAGCCATGCAACCCACATAAGCTGCACAGCTCCACAGGACCACAACGCAACGCAATCACCCCCAGCGCATGCGTCCTGTCTCGCGCCTTACCAATTTGTGACTCTTCGTTCCACTTCCCCCTGACCCATCTCTCACTCTCTCCTCCATCTCTTTCTCCCCCTCTTCTCCCCAATGCTACAGTGTCCCAAGCGCTGCATCCCTCCCCATCTCAACCGCCGCGGAGCAGTGTCACCGAACGGCGACGCGGGGATGGACGGGATGGTGTCGGTGTTGGCACATGAACTCGCAGAGGCCACCAGCAGCCCCTTCCTCGCCACGTGGTTCGACGACCAGGGCGAGGAGAACGCCGACATCTGTGCACACGAGTACGGGGAGGTCAAGAAGGATGCGGTTACCGGCGCGGTGTATAACCTTGTTGGCGTGCGCGGGTCGAGGTTTTTAGTGCAAGCGAATCTGGACCCTGTGAGGGGGGCGTGCTCGATTGAGGCGGACGGGCCTGGAGCTGATGTTTTGACGAGTCAACCGGGATGGTTGTGAGAGGAGGAAGGATGAGACGTGGAGCAGCGAGTGTGGTGTAGAGGGTTTTTTTTCACCCTTTCCGGATGAAGGGAGAGGAAGAGTGGGTGGTGTGAGGGTGGTCTCTCCGCTGCTGCTGCTGCTGCTACTGTGGAGCTGGTATGGTGGCGGTGCTACTGATGCTGGTGCTACTGCTGGTGCTATGACTGGTGGCGCAGCACATGGCCAGAAACGGCGGCAGTTCATGACCGTCGGATGAACTACGGAATTTCTCTGAGCAACTCAGACCGTGGATTGGGACACATCCTCAACACTCACGATCCTCCCTCCCTGCAACTCCTTACGCCCCCTTCCACTGCTACGTCAATTGGTGCGCTACACTTCCCAAATAACCAGCTCCCTTCTCCGACATCTGCAGTCAATGCAGAGTGGCTATGCAGTAGAAGCAGCGCCAGTTACAGGTTACAATATAAGGCGGTACAAGGTCTCTGGGGAGGCCTTGGGTGAAGATAAGATGGGATGGTCTGGTAAGGAAAGGGACCTAACCCGAGACCTTTTACTGCCTCATATGCGATATGTTGAAGAAAATGGCTGTAACAATCTACATAAGCATCTATAGGTTGATGGGATAGGTTATATGTAAGAGTATCCTTGTGTCTCAAGCCTTATAACGATTACAGTTGGTTCATATGTGGGGATATTTAATACCGTATCTCGTGGTGAAAAAAAGGGAATTTAGATGGTTTGCTTCTAATCAATTTGGTGTACCCTGACCTCAGCGTCGAAACATTGACTTCTCAAGCCCACCCGATCTTTCGTTATCGGAGCACCAGATTCCTGGAAACAATCCCAAGGTTCTTCTGATTCCTTGATTTCTCATAAACCATGGAAACTCACTGCAGCTCTTCCCTCCCGATACAGTTACGACTGCCTGATGCGTTTTGTACATTATCCTTTAGTGTAGTTTTCCGTATCAAAAAAAAAAAATTGGAAACTCAGTTCAGTCCGGTTTAGAACGGTGCAGTTGCTTTTCTGTTCTGGTTTGGACCGAGGTCAGTGTTTGCTTTCCGTCAACTGTTGCTGTTTCTTGTTTCCGCTTTTGCTGATCCCGTTTTCACCTTCGTTTCGTCCTTAGCTGCTTCGTTCGCGTCCTCTTCCCCACCGTTTGCAGCCACGCAGACAGCCAGTAGACCCTGATTCCCGACGCGCGTTTAAAATGGAAGAGGACAGGTGAGCGATAGGTGCGCGCGCACCTACGCGCATCGACGCGATTCGATGCTTGAAAACAGTTCCTGCTGATCTATATCGAGCATGGCTGGCTATCTGATGACCGTAATAACCCTTAGTTTGGTATTTCCGTCACTGGTTAACCCTCACACCCCCAACCCCCCCCTCCTTCCCTCCTCTTCCTTTCCCTCCTCCTTCCCACATCTTCTTCCCCTCCAACCAACTCTTCCCCTCCCTCCACTCCCCCTCAGCCCCGAGCGGGCGCGGGGAGCGCAGGGCCGTTGGGTCTCCGAGCGGATCGAAACCGTCGGATCAGATCCCCCGCCCGCTACCAACGGCGGCTTTCGCGGCGGCCCGAGCGGCGGCAGAGGCGGAGGCGTAGGAAGGGGAGGGGGCGGCTGGAGGGATCAAGACCGTTGGCGCGGCGGAGAGCAGTACGCGGACGGGGGGAGGTATGGCGGCGGGTTTAGCAGCAGCCGCGGGTATAACAGCGCGGAGGGGAGGGGGAGAGGAAGGGGGAGGGGGGGAAGGGGGGGCTGGGGGGACCGGTACCAAGGGCAGGGGAGCTTTGAGGAAGGCGCGGAGGGTATGGACGTAGATGGTGGTGCAGGGGGGTTGGATGCTGGTGGTGGTGCTGGTGGGGGGGGTGATCCCAGGGGAGAGATCAGGCCAGAGTATGTGAACCCTGACCCGCAGCACATTCCGAGATCAGCCCGTTTCTTCCTGGTACGTACACCCTCGCTCTCATGCTGCTACCCCTCTTTGCCGCACAGCGTCTGTTGATCGAAGCCGTTCGTCCAACACACACTCCTATGCCACCCCTTTCCTTTTCCCCTGCTTCCTCATATGTCCCCTTCCCTCCGCTCCCTCCCCCTCTTCCCTTCCCTCCCTTCCCCCACCACGCCCCCCCTCATGTCGACCCCTCCTCCTTCCCACTGCTTCCCACTGCTTCCCACTGCTTCCCACTGCTTCCCACTGCTTCCCACTGCTTCCCACTGCTTCCCACTGCTTCCCACTGCTTCCCACTGCTTCCCACTGCTTCCCACTGCTTCCCACTGCTTCCCACTGCTTCCCACTGCTTCCCACTGCTTCCCACTGCTTCCCACTGCTTCCCACTGCTTCCCACTGCTTCCCACTGCTTCCCACTGCTTCCCACTGCTTCCCACTGCTTCCCACTGCTTCCCACTGCTTCCCACTGCTTCCCACTGCTTCCCACTGCTTCCCACTGCTTCCCACTGCTTCCCACTGCTTCCCACTGCTTCCCACTGCTTCCCACTGCTTCCCACTGCTTCCCACTGCTTCCCACTGCTTCCCACTGCTTCCCACTGCTTCCCACTGCTTCCCACTGCTTCCCACTGCTTCCCACTGCTTCCCACTGCTTCCCACTGCTTCCCACTGCTTCCCACTGCTTCCCACTGCTTCCCACTGCTTCCCACTGCTTCCCACTGCTTCCCACTGCTTCCCACTGCTTCCCACTGCTTCCCACTGCTTCCCACTGCTTCGACTGCTTCCCACTGCTTCTACTGCTTCCCACTGCTTCCCACTGCTTCCCACTGCTTCCCACTGCTTCCCACTGCTTCCCACTGCTTCCCACTGCTTCCCACTGCTTCCCACTGCTTCCCACTGCTTCCCACTGCTTCCCACTGCTTCCCACTGCTTCCCACTGCTTCCCACTGCTTCCCACTGCTTCCCACTGCTTCCCACTGCTTCCCACTGCTTCCCACTGCTTCCCACTGCTTCCCACTGCTTCCCACTGCTTCCCACTGCTTCCCACTGCTTCCCACTGCTTCCCACTGCTTCCCACTGCTTCCCACTGCTTCCCACTGCTTCCCACTGCTTCCCACTGCTTCCCACTGCTTCCCACTGCTTCCCACTGCTTCCCACTGCTTCCCACTGCTTCCCACTGCTTCCCACTGCTTCCCACTGCTTCCCACTGCTTCCCACTGCTTCCCACTGCTTCCCACTGCTTCCCACTGCTTCCCACTGCTTCCCACTGCTTCCCACTGCTTCCCACTGCTTCCCACTGCTTCCCACTGCTTCCCACTGCTTCCCACTGCTTCCCACTGCTTCCCACTGCTTCCCACTGCTTCCCACTGCTTCCCACTGCTTCCCACTGCTTCCCACTGCTTCCCACTGCTTCCCACTGCTTCCCACTGCTTCCCACTGCTTCCCACTGCTTCCCACTGCTTTCCCACTGCTTCCCCCTGCTTCCCCCACCGCGCCCCCCCTCGTTGCAGCATGATGATCGTTTGGACGAGCCCATAGGCCGCCCTCGCCTCTCATGCCGCCCCATCCCCCGTTCCCACTGCTACCCCGTGTCTCCGTTCCCGTCCCTTCCGTGCTCCCCCCTCGTTGCAGCATGATGATCGTTTGAACGAGCCCATTCGCCGCCCTCGCCGCCTCTCATCAGGCCCGCCCGCAGGTAAGCTTTCCCCGTGTTAACCCTCGCCGCAGGTAAACCCTCCGCGCAGGTAAGCCCTCCCCGCAGGTAAGCCCTCCCCGCAGGTAAGCCCTCCCCGCAGGTAAGCCCTCCCCGCAGGTAAGCCCTCCCCGCAGGTAAGCCCTCCCCGCATGTACGACCTCCCCTCTCCACTGGTTTCCTGTCCCCTTGAATGCGCTACCATGTGTTGTCCCATGTGTTGACTGGGAGGATGATGACAAGGGGGATTGAACACCCTATCTGATACCGTTGCCTCCCTGCTAATCTTGCCCCTCCCCCAGACTACTCCAACCTCAACAGTAGCACATGGGGGCCCAAGCCTGATGATTCGTCCTTTGATTATGAAGATGATGGCAAGGGGGTGACATGTGCTAATCCGGCTCTTGAACTTGCGCCTGTGCTAATCATCCCCCCCCACCGCCCCCCCCCCCCACACACCCCCCCACTCACCCAGATTATTCCAACCTCAACAGTAGCACATGGAGGCCCAAGCCTGGTGATTCTTCCTTTGATTTGGAGGATGATAGTTAAGGGGGTAACTAGCCCATCTCGTACCCTTTCTACCCTGCTAATCCTGCGACCCTGCTCATCCTGCACCCTCGCTAATTCTTTCCCCTTCCCCCAGACTATTCTAACCTCAACAGTGGCACATGGAGGCCCAAGCCTGGTGATTCTTCCTTTGACTTGGAGGATGATAGTTAAGGGGGTAACTAGCCCATCTCGTACCCTTTCTACCCTGCTAATCCTGCGACCCTGCTCATCCTGCACCCTCGCTAATTCTTTCCCCTTCCCCCAGACTATTCTAACCTCAACAGTAGCACATGGGGGCCCAAGCCTGGTGATTCCTCCTTTGACTTTGAAGATGATGGCACGGGGAGGAGGGAGGAGGGGCGGAGAAGGGAGAGGAAGAGGGAGAGGGAGAGGGAGGAGGAGAGGGCGGGCGAGAGGGAGAGCGAGAGGGGGAGGAATGGGAGCAGGGGTAAGGAAAGGGGGAGGGAGCGAGGCGACGAGGAGAGGGAGAGGGAGAGGGAGGGTAAACGTGGGAGGTATGAGGATGAGAGGGAGAGGAGGTGGGAGCGAGCAGCAGAGAGGAGTGAGAGAGGAGGGAAGGGGGAGACAAGGGAGAGGGGAGGGGGGGCTGGGAAGGAGAGAGGTGAGGAACGATGGGGTCATGATAAATTTGAAGAGGGGAGGAAGGACGTGGAAGAAGGAGGAGGGGGGAGGGATGCAGTTCCGAAGAGAAGGAGCTTTGTTGTTGTGGCTAAGGATGAGGGAGATGATGCTGCTGGTGCTGATGATACGGGCGATAGACCTACTTCGGCTGGCCGGGGTCGGGAAAGTGAGAGGGAGAGGGAGAGGGAGAGAGATAGAGACAGCAACAGGGACAGGGAGAGGGACAGAGACAGGGAGCAGAGGAGGAGCGATCGGGCCGAAAGAGGTAGGGAGCGTGGGGAACGAGCACGTGACTGGGTGGAAGAAACAGCCAAGTACCGTGGGCACTATTACTACGGTCGTGACCAGGTTTACCCAGGCGCAGCAGATTCCCGTCGTGACCGTGCCTACCCAGGCTCGGCAGACTCTCGCCGCGACCGTAACCGCACTGATGTGGAGTCGGGGAGGAGAGGTAATGCACCGTTGGATGATGGGTGGCGGGACGAGGAGCAGCCGGTGAGGGTGAGGAGTTTCAAGCGGGAGGGTGGAGGAGGGGAGGACAGGTGGCAGCACGACAAGTTTGGTGACGTGGCAAAGAGTCCCACTCCTCCCCCTGCTGCTGCTGTTGCTGCTGGTGTTGGTGCTGATGCTGCCGGGCCTGATATCAGTCGGATCGAGGCGCTGCTAGCAAGCTGAAAGGCAGATGTGTGGGTTGGTGGAGGAGGGATGAAGGCGCCTTTGGATGATGGGTGGCGGGACGAGGAGCAGCCGGTGAGAGTGAGGAGGGGCGCCTCTGCAATTGAGATATGGGATGGGGGAGGAGGGGAGGAGGGATGAAGGCACCTTTGATGATGGGTGGTGGGACAAGGAGCAGCCGGTGAGAGTGAGGAGTTTCAAGCGGGAGGGAGGAGGGGAGGACAGGTGGCAGCATGACATAGTTTGTTGACGTGGCAAAGAGCTTCGCGCCGCCCCCAACCGCTGCTGCTGGTCATGGCTCACGATGCTTACGATTGGTGGGTTGGTGACTGCTGGTAGTGCTAATGCAATGTGCGGCTAACGAGTTTTCATGTTGCTGATTTTGCTTGGCACTAACATTGCTGCTGAAGGTCACCTGACTGGAGTCTTGATTAAGCACTACACAGTGTTGACTGTCATGTCCGTATCACACAAAGGCAGCTACATATGTAGAAACAGAAACAGTTAGCTATGGAGGTGCTACACCACACCTCACTTGAACTGCTAATATAACAAAAGGGATAATGAGGAAACGGGTGTACAGTTTGTTTCCGTTTCCCTAGGTCCCATCCACCACTAAATTTGCCATAATTATACTGGTGTAGCTTGGGCTGTCTTGGCAATCTTGATGAACACGTCTTCCAGAGTGGTGTTGTTGAAACCCACGCCCGGATCGACATTTGGCCGCGCACCGAAGCAATTGTCATAAACACATAGGATATGTTCAAACTGGTGTAGCTTGCGCAGTCTTGGCAATCTTGATAAACACATCCTCCAGAGTCGTGTTGGTGAAGCCCCATGCCCTGATCGACATTTGGTCGCGCACAGACGCAATCGTCGCAAACACATCTGCTACCTCCACCTCAGCCATGGGCATCTCAAACTTTTGCGTGCCCGCCAGGCTGTAGATCCGCTTCGCGTTCGGGCAGATGGAATTTACGACCCGCCCGATGTTCTCCTCTTCTTCCAGGGGAGTGGTAACCGTCAGCACGTACGTCCCGCCGTAACGCGTGGTGAGCTGGCGCGCGTTACCGATGCACTCAAACTGCCCGCTCACGAAAATGCCGAGCCTGTCACAGAGAGCTTCGGCCTCTTCCATTGAGTGGGCTGGTGGGGCGAGGGGAGGAAAGGAAGAGGCGGGCAGACAGGTGAATTTGAGGCGCCTCAAAAGCATGTAAGGGTGAGCAAGCGAGAGAAAAGAGGGTGGGTGGGTTATGCCGACTAAAGGTGAGCCAACACTCACTCGTCAGCACGATCGCTCGGTCCTTCTTAGCAGCCTTCACCACGTCCCACAGAAGCTTTTGAGGCGCCCTTAGAGGTGAATTTTGAGGCGCCTCAAAAGCATGTAAGGGTGAGCAAGAGAGCGAAAAGGGTGGGTGGGTTATGCCGACTAAAGGTGCGCCAACACTCACTCGTCAGCACGATCGCCCGGTCCTTCTTAGCAGCCTTCACCACGTCCCACAGGAGCTTGCACCTGTTATTCTTTTAAATCGAAAGAGACTCCAACACGGAATGGGAATCCCACCCACTCAGCCAAGACACTCACTCGTCAGCACAATCGCTCGGTCCTTCTTGGCAGCCTTCACCACATCCCACAGAAGCTTCCTTGACGCCGGATCAAGCCCAGTGCTCGGCTCGTCCATGTACACAACAAGGGGGTTGCCTATAAGGGAGATGGCGACACTGAGCCGCCTCTTCATGCCGCCGCTGTACTGCCCCGACACCTTGTCTCCCACGCCCCCTGCCAGCAGGTTCACGCTCTTGAGGGATTTCTCCACTGCCTCCTTCAGCTCCTGCCCGCGCAGGTTCTTCAGCCGCCCATAGAACAGCAGGTGCTCCCTGCCTGTCAGCTGCTCCCACAGCAGGCTGGAGAAGAGAGGGAGGGAGAGAGAGGGAAGGGGAAGGGGGATGAGCAATGGTCGCAGGAGGACAGACTTGTCCACTGCGTCCTTCAGCTCCTGCCCCCGCAGGTTCTTGAGCCGCCCGTAAAAGAGAAGATGCTCCCTTCCCGTCAGCTGCTCCCATAGCAGGCTGGTATGGAAGGAGAGGGGAGTCGGGGAGTGGGGTGAGTCTCGGGATTCAACATTGACTTCTTGAGATTCATTCATGGTGCTACTCAATTGTACTGCCACATCCGACCCCAAAACCCCCATTCGAACTGCATTAAAGCCCCCCCAAACCGCACTCAACCGCACCCAAACTCACTCGTGCTGCGGGCACACGCCCATGATGGAGTAAATCGCGTCCATGTCGTCGACAATCCCCATGCCTTCAATGATGGCCTCGCCCTCGCTCGGCTTGAGGAACCCCATCATCATGCTCAGCGTCGTCGTCTTGCCCGCCCCGTTTGGCCCCAGCATGCCAAAGCACTCCCCTCTAGCCACGGCGACCGAGAGGTCCCGCACGGCGACTTTCTGCTTGTTGCCGTCGGTTCCCGGGTAGACCTTCCTGAGATGATCGCAGATGATGGAGTAGTGTGGCGAGGCTGGTGGGGATTCGGAGTGCAACAGAGAGTCCACCAGAGCTCGCTGTAAGGAGGGGAGGGAGGGAATGGGCCGGGACGGGGGAGAGAGACAGAGGAAGGAGCGAACATGATATCCTGCTGTGGTAAGTGCTTGCTGCACTCCCCCCACTGAGAGGTCCCGCACGGCCACCTTGTGCTTGTTGCCGCCGGTTCCCGGATAGACCTTCCTGAGATGATCGCAGATGATGGAGTCGTGCGGCGAGGCAGGTGGGGATTCGGAGTGCAGTAGCGAGTCGACCAGGGCTCTCTGTTGGAAAGGGGAGAAAGGTAATGGGCCAGGACGGGAGGGACAGGAGGAAACATGAGATTTCTGCTGTGTAAGTGCCTGCTCTCTCTCTCTCTCTCTCTCTCTCTCTCTCTCTCTCTCTCTCTCTCTCTCTCTCTCTCTCTCTCTCTCTCTCTCTCTCTCTCTCTCTCTCTCTCTCTCTCTCTCTCGAAGCACTCCCCCCGCGCCACCGCCACTGAGAGGTCCCGGATAGACCTTCCGGAGATGGTCACAGATGAAAATACAGAAAGTGGAACATACCTCTTCCATCACATCCGGCTTGTCCTCATCGCCCGCTCCCTCCTCCATCACACTGCTCCTCCTCGCGTCCTGCCTCTTGCCCTTCTTGAACAGCTTCTGCAGCCCCAGCAGGGGATGCTTCCTCACGCCGCTACCCACCGCCACCACCTGGTCCAGATACAGCCCCACTAGCAGGAAAACGAGCGCCTCTATAAGGAGGATGAGGACCGCCGTGAAGAACCCCGCGTTTTGGGCCGACTGCCACGTCAGCGTGCCAGCTCCGTTCATCACGGCCGCGTCATATGCTGAGTTGGCGAACTCGTAGAGACAGTGGTAGATGGAGAAGGCAGGGATGAGCTGCAGGGCAATCAACACCCCGGCTGGTAGTGGGGGGAGGGGAAAGGAGGGGGGAGGGGAAAGGAGAGGCGAGGGGAAAGAGAGGAAGTAATGAATTTGTGAGCCCACAAGGCGAACTCGTAGATGGAGAAGGCAGGGATGAGCTGCAGGGCAATCAACACCCCGGCTGGTAGTGGGGGGAGTGAAAGAGGAGAGAGAGGGAGGAAAGATCATATGAAGTTGTCGACATGCGTTGACTCTGTTTGACTTGCGTTGACTGGTTTGACTCGGGTTGACCTGTGTTAACTCTGGTTGACTTGCCTTGACTGGCTCGACTCTGACTTAGTACTCACTTGAGGCGATGTGAAGAGGCGGAAGAGGAAGTTAGCCATGAGCCCCGAGATTTGACTTCCGTTGACTCTGTTTGACTTGCCTTGACTGGTTTGACTCTGCTTGACTTAATTGACTCACTTGAGGCGCTCTGAGAGTCGAGGAAGAGGCGGAAGAGGAAGTTAGCCATGAGTCCCGAGCCAAAAACGTAGAAGTAGCAGACGACCGTGGCAACTTTGGAGTTGTTGACTTGCGTTGACTCTGTTTGTCTCTGGTTTGTCTTGCCTTGACCGGCTTGACTCTCATCTACTCACTTGAAGAGCTCTGAGAGTCGAGGAAGAGGCGGAAGAGGAAGTTAGCCATGAGGCCCAAGCCAAACACAAAGAAGTAGCAGACCACCGTGGTAACCTTGGAGTTGTTGACTTGCGTTGACTCCGTTTGACTTGCCTTGACTGGCTCGACTCTGACCTACTACTCACTTGAAGAGCTTTCAGAATCGAGAAAGAGGCGGAAGAGGAAGTTAGCCATGAGGCCCGAGCCAAAGACGTAGAAGTAGCAGACCACTGTTGCCACCTTGGAGTTGTTGACCTGCGTTGACTCTGTTTGACTGTCTTTGACTCTCATCTACTCACTTGAAGAGCTCTGAGAGTCGAGGAAGAGGCGGAAGAGGAAGTTGGCCATGAGCCCCGAGCCAAACACATAGAAGTAGCAGACGACCGTTGCAACTTTAGAGTTGTTGAATGCGGTGGAGGTGAGGACTGAGAAGGAGATCTGCATGAAGATGAACACCCCGTAGGCCAGCAGCTGCAGGCCTACTGGACTTGCAGTGAACATTTTCAGCTCTGCACAGGTGGGAGGGAGTAGACAGGAGGAGAGAAGGGGGAACGGGAAGAAGGGAAACAGATCGATGGAGGTGAGAACGGAGAAGGAGATCTGCATGAAGATGAACACGCGAGCAGGGAAGTATGAGAGCGGTGCGCAGTAATGAGGGAACTGGGGAAAGGAAAGGGAACAGCTAATAACGAATAATGAAGCTGGCAATAAGGAAGACGGCGATGAAGATGATCGACATGATGGTGACGTAGGAGTACGAGATGATGATGATGTGAGGAGGACGATGGGGGAGGCACACAGCCGGGAATGCACGTGTGCACTTACGGATGATGAAGCCAGCGATAAGGAAGACGGCGATGAAGATAATCGAAATGATGGTGAAGTAGGAGTAGGAGATCAGCCAGTAGGGCCCGTCCTTAAGCCCATGCATGCGCATCATCATCCGCAGATTCTTCTCCTTCTCATACACCAGGCTCGACGTAAACACGGGGTACAGAAGCTGCAGCATCCACAGGTAAAACAGCGGCCCCAGCAGCGTCGCAGAGTCCAACCCCACCGAATCCTGCGGCCGCGGAAAATCCTTCAAGTACAGCAGCGGAATCGTGGCGTTCGGGCTGAGCAAGGCCTTCACAAACGCGTTGACCGCGAGGTTCATGGAGCGGGGGAAGCGGATGAGAGCGGAGGAGCCGCCGAGGGCAAAGGCGCGCGAGTAGGAGGCGTTGTACCAGATCTGCGTGCGGAAGAGCGAGGCGGAGGAGTTTTGGAAGTCGTAGGCGGACATGTACTGGTTGGGGATGGCGGAGGGGTTGCCCTGGTAGTAGCCATGGTAGAGATCATCATTGATATTGGAGGTGTTGGCTCGCCACAGGGAGAGCGTGACCAGACACTCGATGCCTGCAGGAGGGGAGAGTCGCGAGGAGGAAAGAAGCGAGGAGAGAGGAAGGGAGGGGAGAAGGGAGGGACGTGGGGAGACACGGAGGGAGGCCAAGGGAGTAGGAGTGAGGAGGAGTTTTGGAAGTCGTAGGCGGACATGTACTGGTTGGGCATGGCGGAGGGGTTGCCCTGGTAGTACCCCTTATAGAGGTCGTCGTTAATGTTTGACGTGTTGGACCGCCAGAGGGAGAGCGTCACCAGACACTCGATGCCTGCAGGGGGGGAGGGGCAGGGGGGAGGGAAGGGAGAGTTGGAGGGATGTGGGTGAATGAGAGGCGCACAGGGGTGGGGTTGCCCTGCGAATAGGAGCCGCCGAGGGCAAAGGCGCGCGAGTAGGAGGAGTTGTACCAGATCTGCGTGCAGAGGAGCTCTGGAAGTCGTAGGCGGACACACACACACCATTTCCATCAGCATCAACCCTGAACCCCGTCCCCTTCACCTCCCCCCAGGGCCACTCACGGATGGTCATGATGAAGCCGGAGAAGGCGACGTTGGAGCTGTGCGGCAGCAGGCTGCTTGCTATGCACACATCATGTCCACCAGCATACACGAGCCATACCCATCATCATTCATCACTCCCGAATTCACCCACTCACGGATGGTCATGTTGAATCCGGAAAACGCGATATTGGAGCTCTGCGGCAGCAGGCTGTATTTCGCGCAGCTGGGCTGAATCAGATAAATCGTCACGTTCCTTGTTTTCCCCGTTGTCGCAGACCCAACCAGCGCCTCCTCCGTATACAACGACCACCCGCGCATGGTGCTAGACCCGGGCGGGACATACGCCATATCATACGTGATCGCAGGGATCATGTAAGACGTATTGGTGAAGTTGAAAACGCCGAAGTTCGTCGCGTTGGGCCCGGTTGCGCTCGTCATGTTGCCGAACCCGCCCGCCATCCCGCCCAGCGCGCCGCCGCCGCCCGCCCCGCCGCTGCTACCGCCAAAGCTGCCGCCCGAACCTGTGTCCGTCTCCCAGTTACCGTTGTTGGCTTGCAGTACCCGACGGGGGTTTCGCTCCTGAGCGTAGTTAACAGAGGCGGAATTAACAGAGGCGCCGCACCCCGTGCGTGAGGCCGTTTCCCATTTGCTTGCCTCCTGAATCACTCGCCGCACCACGTCCATTGGAAGCACCTCTTCTACCCTCCGCAGGCCTCGCCTCGCTCCCGGACCTGCTGCTGCTACCGCGGCTGGCGGCGAGGTTTGGTTGAAGGGAGGATCGGTGAGGTAGAGCATGACGCTCTGCTTCTTCTTGGCGGTTTGGAGGGAGAAGAGAGGCACGTCCGGGATGAGCTTGGAGCCGATGCCTGCAGGGGGAGAGGGGATGGACGAGTTTGGGGAGAGGGGGAGAGGAGGGAAGAATGGAGGGGTCTTTCACAAAGGCGTGCCATTTCCTCTTCCTCAAAACCTCACATCTACCACCTATGCGCCGTATAAGGCACCAAGTTAAAGCACGAGAAGACCTCAAACCCACTGCCCCCCTTCTCTCCCAACTTCCACCCTCTTTCTCTCTCTCGCACTCATTAAGACTGATTGTCTAGTCCGCCCCAGCAACGCTCACTGTCAGCAACTCGTCGGTTCTGGCTCGTGTATAAGACCGAGTTAAAGCACGGGTACGTCCCGTTGCCCCCATTTTCCCCACTCCCCCACCTTCCCACTCTCTCTACTCGCACACCCATCCCACCCCAATATTCCCAGCCACTCACTGTCAGCAATCCGCTTGTTCTGTCCCGTGTAGAGTACCGAGTTGAAGCACGGGTACGTCCCGTTGCCTTCCATGCTCGTTGACCCTGCACTCTCCCAACGCACTCACCCATCCCAGCCCAGTAACCCAGCAACACTCACTGTCAGCGATGCGTCGGTTCTGTCCCGTGTATAAGACCGAGTTAAAGCACGGGTACGTGCCGTTGCCCTCCATGCTCGTCGACTGATCAGCCGAGAAGTTCGCCGGCCTCACCCGGCAGCTGCTGGGCGGCAGCCCGCCGCCCGACCCCTGCAGTCCGCCGCCCGACCCCCAGTCCGCCGCCCGGAAATTCTCGGGCGGCACCTGCAGAAACGCCGGCCACGCTGGCGGGTGCGGGAACTCGCAAAACGCAATCTGCCCGAGCTTGTCTGTATACTGAGGCCCGCAGACTTTTTTCCCCGGCTGGCAGGACCCGTCGGGGTTTTTGAATTCCGTGGGGCAGCCGCAGCCGCACTTGAAGCGCGCGTTAAGGACGTTGGTGATGAGGAGTTGGATGAGGAAGAGGAAGATGCACATGAAGGCCGGGAGGCTCACCAAGCACAGGTTGCTGCCCCAGTTGCGTTTCTGTGGGATGCAAGGGGTGAGTGGAGGGGAGAAATGCAGCGGTGGATGGTTTGCGAGTTGGATGAGGAAAAGGAAGATGCACATGAAGGCTGGTAGGCTGACCAAGCACAGGTTGCTGGCCCAGTTGCGTTTCTGTGGGATAATCGGGGGAGTGGAAGGGAGAAACTGGGGGAGTGGGTAGAAATGCAGCAGTGGATGGTTTGTGAGTTGGATGAGGAAGAGGCAGATGAAGGCTGGTAGGCTCATGAGGCACAGGTCGCTGCCGCAGTTTCGTTTCTGTGGGACAATGGGGGCAAGAAGAAATGCAGCCATGGAACGTTTCAACTCACGACGCACTGCTGCCCGTTTTCGTTTCCGTGGAACGAGCAACCACGAAAAGCAGCGCGTACGACGTTACTTGCCCTGGAAATGCGGCCTCATGGATTGCTTTCGCGTGCGGCCAAAGAAAAGAAAAACCTGAAACTTCTAAGTAATAGAAACACTCCAGGAACCACACTGTAGAACGCATGCTACGGCGTCTGTGCATGACTTAAAAGACCACCTACACGACCAAGAAGAGTTTCACGCGCTGAAATCCATGACGATTCGCTACATCTGCATCATCCCTATTGTGAAGAAAACGGCCGGCATGATCCACGAACTCAAAACACAAGTGTTATGATCTGTACGCATTGTATTTGGTTCGAATCATTGTCCTGGCTGTGACATGATATGCGTGCGCTTCCTCCTGAAACCCCAGCAACTCTGGCAAACTTACCAGCCCAGTTCTTTCCGAAACTCCCTGCATTTTGCAGACTACATTTCCCAACGAGAAAAAGCAGTGGACACGCATCAGCCTTTCTCGCCTGCATGTTCTGCACTGCGACAGGCTTCACAGATAGCAGCGTCCGCATGCAGGGTCGATGATCACAGATCATGCGTACCTGATAAGCGAGATTTCTTCGCACGATGGCGTCGACTTGCGTCCAAAGGTGACGTTTGAGTCGACTCAAAGGTCAACTTGATCAGAGATCACGCATACCTGATAAGCGAGATTTCTTCGCATGATAGCGTCGACTTGCGTTCCAAAGGTTGTCGCTAGTTTCCTCCGTCGCTGTTGCGTCATTTTGTCCGTATACCCTCCCTCTTTCATAACCAGCCCGGTCTCGGTATTCACGCTGCCTTCCTCCATGGTAAGATCTACGCTTGTTTCACCAGCGGATAAGCGTCGGTCAAGCAGGACACAATCTTTCGGCGAACGATCTTCTCGTTTTCTAAGGTCCTACGGAATTAATGGGAAAGCGAGGTCTTAGACGGAGCTTGAAGCCGCAGCCTTAGGTATTGATATAACGGCTGCACTCACGATTCCTAAGTTCTGCGAATTCCAAGGAACGGTTTGAGGAAGCAGCTCGAGTCCTGACTAACTAGGACAGAGAAACTGCTAACAAGTTGTAGCTGAAGTTGAAAGGTAAGTTGGGTGAATTCGAGATGATCTCTAGGTCCGAAGGGGTGAGGGTTGTGTATGAAAGGCGGTGAGATGCAACAGCGCAACGGAGGTGGGAGGGAGCTGCGCGGAAGCAGGGTGTCAGTGAAGTTGAGACAGGAGATGACACGAAACGGCAGTTCGGTTCCCGAACCTGGGGGAAGGGTTTGCGGATGCGCGGCAACACTTCCACTGTGCATTACAGGTTGACGCGCTTTCCTGGAATCAAGGGAAGTGCTTCGGGGGCCGAGGGAAGATGAAACGAGGATGGGGCAAGTCGGTTCGGAGGGGAAAGCGGGCGCTGGGGATGTGCGGCGATGGAGGGGCTCGTCCGAATTTGTCGTCGCCAGCAAGCCGCACCGACTCTTCGCTGCTCTGTCGTTAGCACAGGCGCCTACTTTCGCTTGAAAAAGTGCTCTGGCAACGCCGTGCTTTCAATTTTGAAACAGTATGCTTCACTGCATGCTGATCCTTTCCCCCGAATCAACGAAGCTCATGCCGTACGAGTATGTGAGATGACACGACGGTACAGAAAACTTGGCGGAACTAGGTGGCCTAGCCTCACCGCACACCTGCCAATGACACTCATCGGCGACACGCGGAAACCCGAAGTTGTTGTTTCGCGCATGCGAAATTCAGGCGCTCAGGGTGGGCGGGAAGCGCCACGGAAGGGATGCTTCCTCCTTTCCCCACAAACCAACAGTGCACCCCGAACCAACGGTCTTTTCACTTTTCAATCCAACCACGAACGGAAAGGTCCGCCTAAACGTGGCTTGCTTTGACTGACTGGCCAAGGGGATCTGCGAAGGTCCGCACCGCACCTAGGGGGTAGGCTGGGCCGCATGTGCCTGGTTTGTTGGGGGCCTTGATCAATTGAGCTACCTCACGGTTGAAAACGGTTAAATAGGAACTTACGCGCAGCAATATTAGCGCATCCTGGTGGACGAAATGGGAGGTGAAATAGAGTTGTTTCATAACGGTTTCTACATAAAGTACCCAAATCTTGTACTAAACACGGGTTTCACATGGCGCATTCATTTTTTGTGGGAGGTGAAACGTCACTTTTGAGCGAGGGCACTCACGGATATGCGGTCCGTGGACCTGAGTTCCTACTTGCCGTCGATGAAAAAAAGTTGATCGAGATCCAATGACGAGCAAGCCCAAAGTGTCGCCAAACAATTTAACCAGCTCGCGGCTCGGAATGTCCAGCTGAACCAATTTCTTCCAAACCAGCAGCACCCAGAAACGGAAACTGAACGTTGGGACAAGAAACCAAACCAGAGCAGCAAAACCACCAACTGAACCGACGAAAATCACCATTCTCGCAGATAAAACCAGCAGGTCTTCAGCGGTTGCGAGCGAGCAGCTTGAAACCGCTAGCCCTGGCAGCTACTGTCATTGAGGAACTTATCGACTTCTAAGTAAGAAAGGTTAGCGTGACACCGACTTTGGTTTGCCGATGCGTATCTCTATCCTAGTTCCAACAACTAGCTCGCACAGGCCCTTCGCCAGGGCAGCGATGTCGCCGAGATTCGACCTATCGCCTAGCGATACCAAGCTTGCGTTTACCAGTTTGATTACATCATCTGAAAAAATGCAATCTAGAAAGCTTGATAAGCAGACGAACGGAGGAATGACTCATTTCCCGTGGTCCGTTCACCATAATGAAGACTCGTCGGACGAAGCGTCTGATGCCTATCGCTCAAGTACCCTCCACACCTGTAGCGTGTGCGTTTCTACTAGTATTAGCGATAGCACTACCACCTCTCCTCTGTACTGCCCGAACGCCACGGCTTGAGTCATACGAGCAAGCGTTGTCACAGAAGCAGAGCCGTCACTCGGGTGAGGCTATTACTGCGACCACGCATCATGTGGTGTCGCGTGGACGGGCTTTAAGAAGACGCGGTCTCGGCGGCCTGCCCCGACTTCCCTCCCTTAAAGCCCTCCTGACGATCCTCGAGGGCCGTTCCTCTCCATCCCCCTCTCCCCCTCCGCCACGACCTCCTCCGCCCTCCCCACCCCCCCCTCCCCTTCCGCCGCCCTCCACGCCGGTTGCGCGTACCCTTCCCCTCCCTATCGCGTCTCCGCCACCCCTAACTCCCTCCGTCCGCAGTCCCCCCTATCCTCCCCCGCCGTCCCCTTTGCCGCCCTCCCCACCTCCGCCGCTTCCCCCTGCTCCCCCCGCGACTCCCCCGCCCTCCCCAAAGCTGTCCTCTTGGGATTCCTCCCTTCAGCTTCGGCGGCGGGGGGATTCCTTTATCACCGCCACTCTTGCGCCTCTCGGCCCGTCCCCCGCCCCCGCCCCCGCGCCTGCCCTTTCCCCTTCCGCCTCCGCCTCCGCGCCCGCGTCGGAAGGGGGGGAATCACTGGGCGCCTATGTACCTGTGGACGACCCGTATGACTTTCCCCCTGACGGTCCGGACCTCTCCTATTCCAACCCTCCTGGCGGTTCCCAAGGCAACAGCGGAGGTTCGGGTGGCGGAGCTTCCGAGCCTGGGACCCCCCCTCCGCCTCCCCCGACGGAAAGGCCTCCAGGCTGGGTGGAACTGACGTACGGTGGCGGGCCAGTGAAGCACGAGCCTATAAACGCGTACATACTGTATTACGGCGCGTGGGAGTCACCCTCATTCACTATAGAGAACTTCATTAATTCTCTCAGTCAAGACCCGGACCAATTAGAGGACTACCGTGAACCTGACGCCTATTCCGGCATGGTCTCTGAAGTCTCAGGGGGATTAGGAGAGGTGTCTTCTGGGCAGGTGGCATCTGTGCGTGGTTGGTGGAAGGTGGTGGGTCGGTACACGGGGCGGGACGAGAGCAACCCCGGCATCATTGTCAACGTGACAGATCAGGTGATTGTTGGTTCCCGCAGTGTCTTTATTTGACTGAAATCACACCCAGTGGAGGGTGCTGGGAGGGTGCTGGGAGGGTGCTGGGAGGGTGCTGGGTGGGTGGTGGGTCGGTACACGGGGCGGGACGAGAGCAGCCCTGGCATCATTGTCAATGTGACGGATCAGGTGATGGTTGGTGCTTTTAAGCTCGTTAGGGCGCAAAAATTGTCGATTCGTTGCTTCATCGTGATCATCTGTCTCCTGCTTCCTGTGGTACTTGATGGCACCCTGTGGTACTCCTAACAGGTTATACTGGCCGGGTCAGGGAGAGACAACTACTCAGCTGGAAGCGATCTGACCGGCTGTGAAGCTTCAGTTGAAATGGGTACGATTTGCTCGGTTTCGCCTTGTGCTTTTCTTTTTTAGATGGCAGATGTGAAATTTATGGACTATCTATGTAACTATTTGTGCATGCGATTTTTCCTTTGCTCAACCTTGAGTCGTCTTGTTTCCAGCTGACAACACAGCCATTCTAACTCCAATAACACGCTGGCATTCTCGCTTCACACATTTTGTCCATTCTCTCTTCCTTCTGCTCCCGACCGTATCCAGTTCTCGGCAACGCATTGGGCAACACAGCCATCTACTTCATTCCCGCATCCCCCAATGTCGCACTGGCATCCTCACCTCAGGCACACACACCTTTCTCTGTCCCTTATGTTCCCAAACCACCCAGTTCTCAGCAACGCGTTGGGCGATGGTGCCATGCTCCCCGTGGACGACACGGCCATCTACTTCATCCTTGCATCCCCCGACGTCGCACTGGCAGCGCCGTACGAAAACACATACATGTGCGACGACTGGTGCTCCCTGCGGCAGCACCTGAATTTCACGGCATGGGATGGCTCCACGAGTAGCATCCGATACGTGGTTATTGGCGATGCTAGCAAGTGCCCTGAAAAGTGTGCTCACCTCTTCGGCCACCTGTAAGTGCTGCACTTGCATTTTTGTTCCACACGTGCTCATGTTGGTATGGGATGTGATGTAGTAGCTTACACCTCTTCCCCTCCTTGTCTTTTTACCCAAATCAGGAGTTCTCCAAATGGCAACATTTATGAAGATGCCGCAGTGAACGTTATTGCCAGGGAGCTTGCCAGCTTTGCAACCAATCCTGAAAAGGATGGTTGGGCATATGCAAGGAACGAGCTACATGGCCCCTTAGAGATAGGGGATATATGTGAAAATGAGTGGGGGGCTTTGGTGGAGAGCGGTGGGTTTGCATACAACTTGGTTGGGATTTCAAGCATGCAGTACACAGTGCAAGCTATATGGGACCCAATATCAAAAGAGTGTGTTCTTGAATGATTTACCGTATGATAAGGGTTGAACAACATGTTTTTGTTGTGCCATATAGAATTTTGTGTAGATTTCTGCGTTCCACTGCAGTCCTGAAGCCAATTTTTTTAACCATTTAATAATAATGTCCTTGGATGCATAAAGTGGGATAATGTAGAGGAGAGTCTAGGCAAGTGCTACAAATGATTTTAATAGTGTGAATAGCAAACTAGAGTAAGGAAGGGTGCTGTTTTTACTGTTTCTTTGTTCCTGACAATGTCGCGGACAGCCCACGGCCCTCGTCCAGCGGTGACCGTTTTGGGAAGCTGGTGTCCGAGCGTAGGGCCGCCGAGCCTATGGATGTGATTGGCGGTGCCACAGTTGTTGGCATGCTGTACTTTTGCGCGCCTCGCAACACCGCATCCCTGATGGCTGGGCTTGCGATGGGATGTGTCGGTTTGCGCTAACACCAAACCCTCCGCGCGAGGGCCTCCCCATCTTGAGAAGTCCCCCCTACCATCTCCCATGCGTTTCATGTCAGTC